TAAGAGCAGCTTTTGGTACAATGCCCTTTTAGGAGTTCTGTGCTAGTGTAGGTCGCAGTTTGCTTACGATATTGGTGTCTGGATCAGCTGCTTTTCACATTTCGTGCTCATGTGCTATCTCAGTGTGCTTTTCTTCCTGATTACTTTCTTTTGCGGACAAACACAAGCCGAAGAACACACAATTTACTGGAATGTTTCGAATGTCGAGTACGTTGCTTCCTTCAAGTTTTCTTTTGTCTCGTTTTATTTTGCTAGAGTTATCTAGTCTGTTTGTAAGTAATAAGAAAGCTGACCTTATGTTCTCTGAGAACAAATCGTCCAAAGTAACGGACAACGATGTTTTCGACCGTTTTAATCTTAAACAATACAAAGGCGTTTACGAGAAAGTGCCCAACTTAGGTGTTTCCTCTTGGTTTTTAACCGAGAAAGGGTCCCACTTCTCCAGGCTTTTTGGCCCTAATATCATGTCCTTCCGAATATCATAGGAAATAGTATCATATTCGCCCAAGATTCTATAACTGTGTACCTATGACGGTGTGGCTTATTTGCTCATTGCCCAATATGATTTATGTAAATTTGCTAGTCAGAACTGTCCAAGGGAGTTAGACCCATTGTATCTAAACCTTTCTAGATGCTGGCATTGAGTGCCTTTCAGAGAGCTCTGTTCTGGGTGGGGTGACCTATTGTTCCCCAAATTCTGATTGCTTTGTGAGCTAACAGGCATTCCTCTTACTTTAAGACATGATAATTTACGCCAAGTGAGCTATGAGAGGAACTGTGTCAAGTAGCGATATCGGTAAGAACTGAGCTCGACGCTCGGCATTTGTGTTTGTGGGACGTGATTTATTATCAGTCGCGTGGGCTCGTGCCACCGAATATGAGTTACGTGCGTCGGCGCTGAGGTGTGTGCTGATTGTTCCATTGTCGGGAAGATAAGATGTGATGTTGATACTGACTGAGGGTCATTGGAATCCCACTCAGTACTCTTTTGCGCTTCTTTGTTGACTTCAGCTTTCAAAAACCCTCATTGTGTCATGCACAGTCTTAATATAGCTCTAATCCATAACGGGTGCGTTTGCTATACGATGAAGGCATGTGCTCGATGTCGTTGAATTGCCTGGTAAGTGAGTATTTCCGGAGAATAAGTGGTCTGTGACGACTGCAAACTTTCGAGTATCTCATGTTGGCTAAGTATTTGTTTGCATTCGAACCCTCACGTGTGAATATAGCCACTTCAGTAGTTTTGACTCTTCCCTCTCATTTATTCTTCGTAAACTAACTACTGCATAAGTGCTGCTAGGTTGTACTTCCTGCTAGTGGTAGAGTTACATTACATCTTTATTGATGAAACAGTTCTGGTGTTGAGGTGAAGTTCGTTAGCAAATGTCTTTAGGGATATTAATATCGGCCTTAGATTTGTTAGCTTCATATCTGTGAGCAAAAGTTGATATAAGCACAGCACTGAGTGCTTTCTGAGGAATAGATATTATCGGCGGCCGCCATTACGTTTTGTTCTGCATACTTGTAGGTAAATAGTGGTCTTTGTTAACCACAGGTTTTGTGGCGAGAGTGAGGACAATGATCGTTTTCCTTAGATCTTTGTCTATATTGGCATAAGAGTCATTATAATGGATGCATGCGATGAGCTGCTTATGTTTTTCACTGACAAGATTTACGACTATCTACATATTGATCGATTTTCAAGATAACTTTCTACCCATCGTCAAAGTCTGACGATAATCATTTGAGTATTTTTGCTACATTTTATAGATCATGGACCTTACTACCTGAATTCTTGGCGCTGGGTTAAAAATGGTTTATTTATTAAAGGATACGAATGGAGTAGGTGAGAAGTACCATGTCTGATTAAAATCACGGCAAAATAACGATTTTGCTAACCCACAGAGTACCGTGTGGCTAAATTTGAAGGAGAATAATTACGACCACAAAAACAGCCTGTTGGTGGGCGGTATAGCCGATGAGGATTATGCAAGCTGACAGCTCAGGCGGCATGTGTGGCATTTGGACATAACAGTCGTCATGTCTGATGTGTATAAGTGTATATGAGGTGAAGCAAATGAATTCCTTGAGAGAATGCGGAAACGCGGGTGCTCTGCGATTTGCTCGTCCATTACTCGGATAGCGGCTCGTGCAGCACTAACTGCTGCCAATCCATTTGCATGCGTTAAAGCACCGGAGGAGCATCGTGTTGCTGCGCTGGAAGAATGCCCAGGAATATCATTTACATAGGGAATTCAATTATAATAGTCTGTGTAAAGTTCAATCTCAAGAGTTTGGTGGTACGAATGGTTGAAGGATCGTTGCAGTTTAATAAAGCCAGTACTCGGGCGGTCGATTTAAATTGTTCGTTTGGAACTGTGTTGATCTAGGGAATAGTAGAATCACGTTCGAACCCAGTCAGTTACCTCTCGCTATGGTAGGACAGGCAATTTTTGATGCCTTTGTTTTGTTTTTATGGAGCGACCAAGTGTCTCTGAGGTGCATGTAAGATATCCCCTCCTATGAAAAAATGTGATTAGTACTTTCGTAACACATTGACATATATATGTATACGATTATATACATGTGTATAAGTACATCATTAAAATTATTGCTGTGATTAAATCAATCCGAGTATAGCTTAATAGTATAGAGCAGAGTTGATGTTGGTTGTAAATCACTACTGCTGCCGACTAATGACGCTTGTAATCACGAAGTGCTTTGGATTAGCCCTACGATATGAAGCTCATTGAGAGAAAATCCGACCTTATTGAGGCGAGGCATGGGTGTGTTGTTGACCCCTAAAGGTGCGTGATTGCCTCTAACTTTGCTTGTTTTCTGGCTAAATATGTCGTTGCTATGCGACATAATGGAAAGGTGTCATATCGCACCTTTTATGACCAAATCAGTAGGTTATGAAGCCAAGATTAGTTCTTATCCGTCGTGGTAAATGTGAATATGCTAGTCGCGGGGCCGTCCTAAAACCTTTCTACTTTGTTTGAACAGAAGCAAAGTTAAGGCAACAATCTAAGACGGTCCTTGAGCGCTCAACTACATGTTTGTTATAGAAATCTAGTGTCAACTACTATCTCAGTCAAGAGACTATTTCTTGTTGAAGAATGTTTGCCGCAAAGATTACGAACACCGACCGGTCAATATCGATTGCTGTTCATGTGTTCTCACTGAATACTAGGTTAACCTTTCATCACAACGTAATTTGCTAGTTGCACAATAATGTGGCAGTGAGGTAGACGAGCAACGAAGGGATTAGGTAGGGACAAATCGTGGGAAAATCACGAGTGTTCACCATGTTCGCCTGATTTCACGACTACCCTCGGGAATGTCTGACCTGAGATGTAAATTAGTTTGGTGTTGTGTAGAGCAGCCCTTTTCCATGATATAGACGATAATCTAAAATAAATCATGAACTGTTTGCGGTAATTGTAGAACGGCTCACTTTTCTATACTTTGTAGTAAAGGCAAGGCAAGAATGAGTTCATTGTCGTTTGTAGCAAACAGATAATCATTTATACTCTTTCTTTTCGAAATTATTGGTTGTGTATTTTGCTAAGAAGCCCAGCTAACAGTAAACCAATACCAGGATCTGTCACTGTCTTGGTATCAAACTAGTCGCATGGTGGCAAATCTCTCTGTGATCCACAAAGACGGCTACTGCCTGTGGTGGTGAGGACCCGTGGTATACTTTGGTCTGGCCGCTCTCGAGACTCCAAGGAACTACAATGACTAAACCAGTAAAATTTCGAAAAAATCATTATGTTATTAAGATTATGTTGGGACCCGCACAACCAGTAAGGACGGGCCATCCAAGTAAGTACTTTGTTAACATAGAGTTGCTTAGCATTAGAATGTGCATGAACCCTCCGTTACGATGATCGGTGCAATCATCGCACTTAATCCGATAGTCATCTAATGTCAGTGTGCCAATCACTCCTTGTTGTATGTCAGTACAATCAGCGGATGTGCTCGAGACTTGTCAGGTCAGTTATCACACGAACTTTGATTTGAGCCACAGTAATGCGAGACTGATATCCCTTTGGGTTGTATAGTGACTGCTATATCGTGGATTAATCCGTGTCCAATGTAATTTGATGCATCCTCGTATCTCATGAAATCATTGTTGCGTAATACTCGATGAATGCACGAAGCCTCATTCTATGTGCTCCAATCAAGCTATAGCGCTTAGTAGATTCTCACAGGCAGTGGAAGTATCGGCTTAGTTACACTTCTGCTTCACTCATTGTTTGCAATTTATGATCTATGACTGTTTCCTCTTATCCAGTGACAGTTTTTACTTTCACTACATTTTTCTCCATTTATGACGCCTGAAATAGCACCATGATTTATTGGCCACTTAACTACATGCTTTACCTGGTGGATAGGAAAGTGCCCGCCCTAAGAATAAAGTTTGCGCATGACAGTGGATGTTTGTGTTATGGTTACGATTAACATGGGTTGGAGGTTTGTGTTTACCAAGAAGATCAGTCTAGTAAGAAGATGTTGTTGCGTGAACTGCTGGTGATCAATCTATGGTATCGCGATTGGTAAGTTTGGACAGCAATGCTATCATGAGGTCCATACTTGCACCACAAGTTCTGTTGTTCCAGAGGACGCTGTCACCATTGTAATTCATGCGAATTCAGTCGGGATCTCCTAAGAATAGATGGATATTTGCTTGTTAGAAAGTAGTTCAATGGTACTTTCAGTATTGTGCAAACCGCACAGTTCTACTTTTTTCAATTCCGAACCTCTTTCAAAGAGGTTTTCCCAATGATAGAATTTCAGTGACATCTATATCGTATGATTCTCATGTTGATCTGTATCCCTCTCGTGCATCAAGGTTGATTGGTAATTCCATTTTATGCTTCTTATTTTGATTTGTATCCCGTACTTGCAGTTTCCTAATACGATGCATCAGTGTTTTTTCTGGCGATGGGCAGGCTCCCATTTCTGCACTTCGATGTGGCGCCGGCTTTTTACGTATGCCTCATTACCCTGCGATGCTACAAGAAGCGCTAAGAGACCATAACGTTTTTTCACTTGGAAGTTGCCTTTCTCTCACTGTAATCGGACTAAGTGCACCAGTTAAAATGTGGAAAATCCTAGCTAGAACGAACCTTGCGTCCGCTCCAGCTCCAAGGTTTTATGCTGGGTTACTTGACCAAGCAATGTCTAGAGTAAAATCTATGATATAAGTAGTATGAAACTTTTCTGATGCATTTATCTCAAAGTGTAATTTCAGCTGGCTTGGAGAGAAATTTTTCTTCGAATCAAAAGAAAAATTACGTTGAATTGTAGTTCTTGTTTCGTCGATGTGTCTGGTGGATAACAAACGCCGTTTATAGTTAATAGGGGAGAGTGACTATGATGTGAAAGTCTAAAAGAATGAAGTTCACTTCCTAGTAAGAGATTCTAGTCGTTTTGCGATATTTAAGATTTAAAAAAGCTATTATAAAAAAATTAGAAAAAAAAACATCTATATGATTGTATCCATTTGTTTCCTACCGAACGCAGGTGTTCGTGGTGGTCCGTCCTTTTGATGGAGATCTGTTGTGGCTGTTCGGCGTTCACAAATCAGCACAGCAATGAATCTACACATTGATCGCCGCACTGCCGTTCGAAATTTATAACTATTTCCAATTGGATCACATGAACGAAAATGGCGCTGGTGCTGTCACCCGCGATTAATCCAAACCCTTACGTTATTGCAAGGTCTCATAGAGCAATCTTCCTAATAATTTCTCATTGTGGGCGCGTTTTATATTAACGACTTCATTTATACAGTTCCTAGTGGTATTAAATCTTGTTGTTTTGGTTCATTATACTGGACGGATGTTTCGAGGTCGCACTTCAATACCGCGCCAATTAATAGAATCTCAGCAGGGTCATCTTAATTAGAGACTTTTGGCACTAATACCTGCTCTTTTCAGAACTCTGAAATCGTAAGTTTTAAGTTTCTTTGGGAGGAACTACGGCTTTAACCCAACCACCCAGCTCAGTTATTTGTGTTATTTAGGCCTTTTTATGCTCCAATATAGCCATTATGATGTTATTGATCAAATGTATACCTGTTTGAATAGTTGTACGGGTATTTGGTACTTTCTCTTTATTCGTTCTTCAAAGCTGTCTACTTCTTGACTACATTTTTCATCAGATATCTCGATACACGCCTACCCACTAGTTAGGTTCCAGATGCTGTACGGTCGCCGTATCTGATCGGCAAATTTGTCTTCATGTTCTGTGAAGTGTAATGAGGTTGCCGGTACACAAAGGCAAGTTAGGACATGTGGTCACGGTATGAAGGCAATGATGCTTATTACACCACCTAGACAATTCCTCTGAGTCAATCTTTTTTTGGGTATAGTAGTCAGTGGCAAAAGCTCCTGTAAAAGGTAAAGGTGGGTAAACTAGTTGGAGGCCAAAGGACACAATACGGATTGCTGACAGGTTGAGGCATTGTTCGGTGTATTTGCATATCTATGGTTCCTGCGACGTTTATGAGTAGAGCGGTTGTGGCCACAGTCGTGACCGTAACCAAAATCTATTATCTCGCATAGGTCTTTCAACTCGCGAACTAGTCAGGTCAACACATGGTGCTGAAGGTTTTTCTGAGGAATTGACAATGGAATATAATACTGTCATAATGCGGTTTGCATAACTGTGCTCTGTCTCCATGACCGCCACCCGTTAATAACTCGGCAAATAGAGGCTGGTCGATAGGCGGCAATCTCTTTACAGACTACCGAAAACCCACATCAGATAACGAACCGGCACATCGTCGCCTGTTTTCCACTCTTAGCTGGTAGTCCCGACTGGTTACGGTAACCGGGCATGATGAGCACGTCGTTGGCTTAATTAATGTTCCAATAACGATACTAATTCGAAGTTTCAATGCAATGATCTTAATGATTTGGGTATTAGTAGTTATCTGGTTCCACCCCTGAATACGTCATAGGATTTGGGCAGAAGCATAGTGTTATTAACGAACAAAGAAGTGGTGCGAGTTATAGACGTTACTGTGTGCCTAAAAATCTATTCTTCCAGTGGAAACTCCTTGGTGAGGTCACTAGTTGTAAAATTTGACTTCGCTCTTTAATTAATTAACTAAATTAGAGGAATTGACAATATTGCCTTCCTTGTTTGTGTGTCTCACTAAACAGCATGGCGTTATATTATTCTTTGGTTTATAGTTCCAGAGTTATGTTAAAATTGTAATTCGTATGGACGAATGAAGAATGAATGTTTGTATTAAACGAAACGAATTTGTGTTCTTTCTTTTTTCCTTGAGATCTAATTATGCCAATCTTTTTCCTGCTGTTTGTCTAGCGGGCAAAATGTGCTGCTCTCGTGGCCATCAATTACGGCGCTGGACAGGTGTCAGATGATTAGCAAACAAATACTGCTTAAGGGCAAGGTAGTGGTGGATAGCCAAAACACATAAGTGGAAAAAAAAGCCTCAGTCGAAAAACTGGAAACCTTTAAAAAAAACCGTGCACGTTTATTGTAAAAAATTGGTCAACGCTTTCGTTTCTTATGCCTCTTGCCAATAAAATCACATAGTGAGCTGGTCGTCTTAATCATTTCAAAGCTTAATAATCTACTTAATCATGTTTGGTAAGTGTCGGCAAAGTCAAACACTAGTGGACCGACCGTCAAAGTCATTCCTTTGTCAGGAGGGCATTGAATTAGTGAATTCATTGACCGGAAGACGATCGGCATCGTCGGCGAGTGTTGCGCAACGCATCTTTGGGAAAAGGGATTCCGGAAAAAAAGAAAACTTCACTTATATTTGGCACTTGCCACCTATGAAGTCGTAATTATAAGTTTTTCTTTCTAGTTTTTGCTATCCTGTCGGATCATCGAACACTATCGTTGTCGACATGGATGACACCATACGGGTGATTTGCCCTGGAATTAATGCGTGGAAAAGATATTTAAAAATTCACAAGGTAAGATCTGTTGAACATCTTAAGGGTTTGGTAAAATTATGTTGAATTTTGACTCATTTGTATTTAGGTTAGCGCTCTCTCCTTTAGTGAGTGTCTTCTAGAGACACAGAAAACGTTGATCGCCACTTGTGATGGTAGTAGCAGGTCGGAAAAGCCAACAATTGTCAGTGTCCGTCGCTTTAGTCGACTTCCGTCTTCTCAAGCTATACTATTCGAGCCAGGAGAAACTTACTACTGGATCGGTATATGTGTTTTATTTATTAATACTTTGAGGTCGCATTAATCCAAGAGAGGGTCCGAGGACTCTCAAAATAAATTTCTGAGGAAACTTTCATGCGTTTCTTTGTTTGGGAGTGAACACGAAGGTAAACAAATGGTCCACACATTCGGTGAGATCGTAGCTGTTCTTTCTTTTCCTTTTTTGTATTGGCTTCGGGTTTTTACGTTTATTATCCAGGGAATCTAAAGGTATTGGATTTATTCTAAATGTTAAGGAATAGTGAAGTGGATGTAGGTTAGGAACCACATTTACATCAATTTTTGTGTTTGTGATTAGGAAGCTCAGGTAACCTAATTGCTGTTATATTTGTAGATATTTATGTACTTTTCTTCTAAGCTCGATTATTAATACCATGAGATGAAAGGAGATTTTCAGCTACATCAACAGGAGAGAGAGATGGCATCGATCAAACCCAACGTGGAATGTGTGCTGCAGACAATATGCGACTTGTAATCCATGTACGAGAGTATTCCAAAGAGTCCAGTCCAGCCATACCCAGGACAACCACTTCACGGGCTGTTCAGAGGGATCCGTCTTCACGACAATATGGTAGTGAAAGTGATATTCGTTACTCCAAACTTTAGAACCGCTTTTGAAGGTTCAGAATTATTTATTATGAATCGGTTGCAATTCGAGGAACCACCAATCTATTTTCCTGTTAAGATGCGCGAGCTGCTGAACGAACTCCACTCACCCGAAGAATATTAAAGAAGCAACCTTTGGTACTGTACTGTTTGTAGGGAGAATTTAATCCCTAGTATTGGTCAGCCATGGAATAGGCTTTCTCTTAGCTTAGGTTCCATGTGGAATTGTCTTACTCCTGAAGGTCCAGCCGTAACAGCAGTTAATCGTCAGGGGAAGACTTAATGCATCAGTTCTTTATTCCATTAAACTAGTTAAAGATTTCGAATAGTTTTATTGTATTAATGTACAGCAACGTTTTTTCTTTAAGCAAGTTCGAAGTTTACTGCCTTAGCACATTCCTTTTTGTATGAACATCGGCGGGAACCAAAATTTGATGGGTTCACATCGGAGCAACTCCAGAAGGTTCGTAGTATATGTGCTCACATATACACATATACATATATATATATATATATTGTTAAGGTTGCGGCGCTTGCACAACAAGGAGCTACGGGTACATTTTCATTTGACACACCCATGGAAGTAAGCGAGGTATGGAGATTTATCGTTGGGTGTTCGTATTGACTCTTGTTTAACCTCTACGTTCTCATCTGTGGTTTTTGCACATTTCCAGACGGTAACGGATGAACCTTCGAAAACAGAGAATGTTTACTGGGATACTGCTCCTCTTCTACAAGATGTACTCAATAGTGCGTCTGACAATATCGTACTTGGAAGTAACGGCGATGGAGATGAGGAAGGCGCATTTGTCGTACATGAAGATATAGGTAGGAGGAAAACATCCAGCGACTGCTCCTACATTTATTTGTCTTCAAAGAGGTGTGAATTCTATGCTTTCAGGTCGGTCATACGAATACCAATCAGATGCCGTGGGTTCTTCGTCAGTGGTCCGCCTCTTGTATGCAACCTTCTTCCTACTTGTTTGGAACAATGCATTTTAGTGGCTCTCACTAACTTAACGCATTGATGACAGCGCGAGTAGATTTGTAGCGGCATCAATGCGTAAGCTAATTGGACATTTCTTTCATGATGGCACGGTCGACGTTCCATTTTGGGTTCATCTGTTTGCCGGTTCTAGAGCGGGTCAATTGACGAGAAATACTAATACGTGCAACATTATGTGTTTTGATTGAATTTTAATAATTCATATTGATTCTGTTCCCTGTTTTCTTTCTGTGATTTGTTTACATTGTTGACGCTCATCTTTCCCTAACAAAATTGTTTTCATTAGAGCATCAAAATTAAGTAGTTTTCTTACGTTCTTACGTTTTAGTTCTGGATTCACTAATAACTGTTCTACATTTCTTGATGTTTATATTGTTCGATTTCACTTTTTTTTTAAACATGAAATGCAAAAATTGTCATTGAAGAAATCATTGATAGTCGAAGAACCTGGGATCTTGTTATGAAGATTTATTTTGTCTAAACTGGAAGTCTTCGTTGGTCAGGCATCAACTTGGCCTCTTTTGTCGAGTCCTTTGAGTTCGTGCAAGATGTCGATTGTATCGCGACCATTCGTTTCAGGCAAATATCCGTACACATACAGAAGTGCAAGCGAACATGGGAGTATGTAAATAGGCAGGAAACACACCGTGCCGACTGCCTGTTGAAAAATAGTTCTTATAAGAGCAGTGGCTTTCACTGAAGTGTATATATATCTGTATATATTGCGTAGAAAGTTCTATACTGCAAGGTTTTTCGTGTCTTTGGAGAGGTATAGCAAAGTATGAACATAGTATCAATTCAACACCTGATTGGGTATTGCAGACCTATATTATAGGTTCCTACGTGGGAGAGTATGGTATTCTACCATAGACAGACAGAGATTGAGCTCTTGGCGTTGATCAATCGTTGAGGGGTGCGCCATGCATTCGGTTTCATTAAGCATCGTTTGGAGTTGATTGGATGCATGTTTGGCCTTTACTCGGGGTAGCCTATCGATGTATCGAATCAGCGCTGCTACCCTTCCAGACAAGTCTGGTACCAATTTCACGAGCTCGCGGGGATGGAGTTTTCGGTAGGCCTGGGATGCGGGTACCGATCCCATTCTTATTGCAGGGCGTCCCCGACCACTGCGCTACATGAGTCCATTTCTGGCATAGGACAAGGTATTTAGTACTTTCTGTTTATGCATGAAAATATCTGGAAAATTGCCTTTGTGTCACCACGACTAACCTAAACTCGGTCCCTAGGCGATGCAAAGTCATTTATTTCAAACGAAGATGTGCAGAAAAGAAAAATTCGACAATGTGTTATGCTGTGTGCTATGTACTAGACGTCGGTTATTGCTACGACGTTTTGTTTGGTTTGCCCACGTAAACGCATCTATGAGCATATGGATAGGTTGGCTGGAGTATTGGGACGGTTTGCGTATTGAATCCGAGACGTATTCGTTCCGATTGTTCATTTTGCTAAAGAGGGTTTGTTTCCTGCACTTTTTGTATTCAGTGAATAGTTTGTCCAACACCAATGTTTTGCCAGACGTTATCATAACAAGCTATTCCCTGCACCTAATAATCACATTCTACCCTATTCTGGACGATTTTTTCGATGTATATCGCGAACGAGGAAAAAATTAGGCCTCGTTCCAGTGATCACCTCACAAAATTAGGCGTAGTTAGGAATGATGGCAGCATTAGGTAGAAAACTAGCTAAGAGAAACGCAAAGCAAGGGCCTCAGTGGTACAGCGTGTGATACGCGAACCCCAGAAGGGATGGTCGTCGCTCGATCTGGCCCAGGGTCCAAATTTTTCGAATGTCTCAGCATCGTTGTGATTGTAGTTGAGAATGTTTTAACTGCGCAAAGTAAAGAATTTCGCACGCAGGATTCTTCAGTTATGGGCCTGAATAGAGCTGGCATACTTTCTTTCTTTTGAACGTCAGACTTACTCCAAGTAGAGGGACGGTAGCGAAGTTAGTGAGCACAACGAGAACGCTGTGAAAACCATAACATAGACAGAACATTGCCGATCGATATTGAAGAGGTACCAACTCCGGTGGGATGGACCATGCAACGGGACCGACACCGACACTGAAACGACCGTGTTGGCAATTCCTGGAAAGTTGTCTATCCACATAGTTGCAAGTAGGAAGTATGCAGTATCGCTTGTAGTATTCGAAAATGTAAACATTTAAATACGTCGACCTCACCCATATGAGAAAACGAAAGCAAATATTCCTACGACTGCCACGTATTTAAAACCCAGCTCTGCAGCAACCACAAACGAGCTGAGGAAGATTAAGCACGACGTTTCCGCTGTTAGGAGCATCGTCCTAAAGTCATTGGTGAAAAAATGGCACGTAAAGCACGACTTTTAACCTTTACATATTGCTTATTTTGTCACATAACCACATATAAGGCGCCAATATTAGAGTTACCCACGGGCACGCTATGCCCATCCTGGAGGCTACCGTTCACGAGATCCCATGTTTCGATAAAGCTGGCATGTTTGCCACCTTTAGATATTGAGTTGTCCACTGACTGTTCAGTTTAAATCTTTTATTCTCTTCCGTAGTGTTTCTAGGAAAATACTGTCAACTTGAAAACTCCACATGGTGTTTTCTGCAGTGGCCTAGTCGTCAAGGGACTTTCTAGTATTTCTGAACAGATAAATAGATAGCTTGCCTTCGTGGTAATTTATCAACGATAAATGTAGATGTTATGCATGAAAAGGTAAGAAGTACCATAAGAAAAGACGAAGACAGCTGTGCCATGCTGCTGGAAAATGGTCATACAACATAAATTGCATTCCAGTAATTCCCTATCAAAGAGTGAAACTACCCACCTAGGAAACCTCAAAAATGTGAAGAAGTGTGTACTGTTTTGTAGGATCGAGAAGAACGGCAAAGTGCCAAAAAGTGAAGCAATGGAGAGTGCAAAGGCTCGTCTTAGATGGCTTGTCGTAATAATGGACTGAAATGACCGTAATCCAAGCATAATCAAGAAGAATGCGTTAGTAATGGCTGAAATTGATCCAGAAGAAGCAGAGTTCCCATCATACTTCTGAAGTACTGTCAACTTCAGTGCGCGAAAAGTCAAAAGTCACTTACGGTAGGCATTGCGTCGATTCTTCCCGTCATTTAACTAAAATAATCAGCTTCAAGCATTCTGGCCTTCTCATACGCACTTTGACTAAAATGAGAGGGACAAAGAAAGGCTCGGAATAAATCTGTCGCCAACTTCATCTGCCATTAGATCCTTCTATGCGGCCAATGTAATTTCTCCAATTACTTATGGCAGGTATTTACTACAACTACCATCTATCTCTACCTAAGCCTACGTAGTAGAGTTGACCTGGTACTCACCTCAAGCAGTGTGCTTCCCTATTCTAGCATTCTAATGACTTTAAGGCAGATCCTTTACAATGATAATGGTCTCGCAGAATGTCACATTTCATTCCACTTTCTTAAATCTCAATGAATTTTACGAAGAACACTGAAGTACCATAGCCGAAACCCCTTCGGTATTAAATTTCACTATTCGTTCCGTATTGATCAAAATGAAAGCATACTTCATTAATATAACTCAACGAACACGAATTTCATGCGAATGAATCAGGTCGGGCTGAATCCTCTCCCAAACTCCGGCATCCTTCATCTATAGCTGTACGAGTTCATCTGAGAAAAGCACATTTGAAGAACGGCGGAGCACGTGAACGCACCGAAGCAATGGACGCACTTCTCGCTGACATGCTCGCCTCCTGTCTTCAATAGCAAAATCGCTCTCACAGCTTTCACCAAAATAGCGACTTGCTCATTGGAAATTTTGCTGACAAGATGGGTTCTTTTACTTGACATCGAAATTCAAGAGGGCTTTGATGGCTTTCACCAAAATGAATGACTTGCTCATGGGAAGCTTTGCTGACATGATGGCCTTTTTATGTGACATCGGAATTCGAGAGGGAATTCGAGAATTTAATTTGGTTTTAGCCACAGCACAAATGGAGAATACTGCAAGATGGGAACAAAGTTCTATCACAAAATGACAGTTTTGGGAAAATATTACTTATTCGTAATGGAGCGCTATCGATCAATGGGATATTTCTCGTCGACACCAATTACTTGCAATCATCGTTTTCGCAATGATTGAATCTTATGAGTGTAGAAGCTGGGAGCTTCCATGTTTATAAGTTCTCCAGTCCGTCTTTGATATCACATAAATTTTGAAGCGATTTTATATATAACAAGATAGATATGAACACATGTTTTGTCGAAGCTGTTCCACGTATAGGGCAGGATCTGCTGAACCACGAAGAAGAGATAAGCATTGATGTTAGTGCAAGCGTTTTCTTTGCGATGATGTAGCCATTATTAATTGATGGAGTTCCTGTTCCATAGAGATATGGGATACCTTTGCTTGAACGCCAACTTGCGCAAGGTAAGATAAGACACTCAACCACCTTATAGTCGAGCACTTAACTTCATTGTTTATAGCGCATACGTTCTCCCAACGGTTTACCGACCTCATCGTTGTAGGGAGGCGTTCATAAGTATTGGACTGCGATGCGCAGCGGGGGGATCCTCCCACCGGCGCGATCTCGCAAACTGAGAAGGAGTTCGGCATTTCCATCAGGAATTTTTTTTCATTTCCATGCAGAAAACTTGACACTTGAACGGCCCGTTCTCACTGGTTGTACGGGCACCAGCATAATAACCATTTATAGGAGATTTGCTGGTTAAGCCATTGTGGTTCTTTGGAGTCCCGAGGCCAGCCTGGCCAGAGTCCGCCCCAAGTCCTCATCACCACGGGCTGTCGCAGCCCTTGTGGATCAGAGGGAGACTTGTCACCATGCGACTTTGATGCCAGGACGGTGGTGGATCCTGGTATTGGTTTACTCTTAGCTAGGCTTCCTGATGGAAACGCCGGACTCCTTCTCAGCTTAGGGTACCCTGCCGGCAAGACGAATACTCCCACTCTACATCGCAGTCCGACACCCACGAACACCTCCAAGCCACGATGAGGCGGTAAAGCGCTGGTAGGATGCAGAAAACAGGAGTTCCAAATTCTAGCATTTCTATTACAGAAAGTCTGTGATGAAAACAGAGCCCTAAATTGACGCTTCGAAGCGCTTGAGGAAGTAACGAGGAAAAAAGCAGGTTCGCGCAATGATTATGCATGCATCCACGGAACATTTTTTTCAAGCACATCAAGCTTAACAAGAAAGAAATATCTTGTAGACCCATTTGCATCCGTGGGAAGCACGCTTTTAAATCATTATGCCATCACTACTCATTAAGTTCGTCATGAGAGCGCGTTACAGTCACCATCTACTAATCTTTTCGTTGGCGGCACTCAATATTGACAAGAAAACTCGAAGTATAAGGAAGCAGGTACCAGACGCAATTGAAAATCTCATAGTCACAGATCGTATCTCAAACCAGTTCAGAACAAATTTGGTTACTTAAGTGTTGTTTGGCTTGTTAGGAAAGCTTATCATGGCACTCAAGAAGGTGCTCACTTTTTAATTAGTTTTATGAATGTAATGAAGTTAGTATAGTATAATTTTTAAGTTTAATGATGTTTTTTTTCGAAAGCCTTGAAAGAACTATAATCGATTCAAGTCTGACTGTTCTTGTGCTTTCGTTTCTCGTTCTACCTCTCCTTTTACTTTTTTCTATGGTGAAGCTGTCTTCGTTACCTTAAGTCCTCCTTTGGGGCTTTCCTGAGTGCTTTTGCCTTCAAGCTGTAGTTTCGCTAGCTGTGCTTGCAACCCTTCATGTTCGCCTTGGTAGAATCGCAGTGAAGCCAGAGCACCATCGGAGTCATGCCTAAATGTGGTGATAACCAGTTAAAATCAAAGGCCGTAATGGAAATAAGAGCCAAGAATAAAAAAAAACTGCGAGTGGTTTACTGTGGTCCAAAAGCTTGTGCGTTTTTGAAGTAACTTTTTAAAAACACAGGTGTGCACAAGTACCCAAGCGAAATACCCAAGCGAAATGATCCCGCAAAAACCATATGTTGGGTAACGAACTAACCTTGATATAGTTAAGAATTTTGGCGTCTCCGGCATGAGCACAATTATTAATGTGGAAATCACTCCTGGAATCACGGGAACAAAGAGCAGAATTGGCAACGAGTTGCCTGAGAAGTACAGAAACTCTTTGTTGTCTTCACATAAAGCCCATGCAGGCATGAGAGAGTTGTTGTGGTACTACATTTGCTTTTCTATGCCACCTATTCGGGCTACTCAAGCTCAGTGATTTTTTTGACGTTTATATCCATGTCCGATCAAGAATGTATCACACCTGGTTTTCGTACATGCTGGAATATTTTCGATGTTTTTTAAAATAAATAGAAATAACGAAGGGTTTCCTTTCTTGTCGTTATTTTTTTTCTTTAGTGATTTGGCTTATTCGAAAATGCACAGCGAAGTTTTTTAAATTCTCGTCTCCTTCATCAGATTGTTGCCCTTTGCTCTATGAATGTATTCGAGAATTTCCTTCTGACTGGAGCAACGACTAGCAATCGAGTATGCGGTAGTGATCTCATATTGCAGGTGTTCATATTGCAGCAGAGGCCGAGGGCGTACATATTATTCTCATCTCCAACTCATTTTCTGTTCTCAGCAGAACCGACTATTTGATTTCTACCACTGGATAATAAACACAAAATCGCAATCGCTCGGTTTTAACGTCAACAATTCTGTGGGAGTTGTATGGTAAATCGCACAATCTTACCAAGAATGTCTTCGTGTCCCAGTAGCATCCCAATCAAGCACATAACAGCATAACCGGTTGAGAACAGTGATGACATCGTGCCTCTAAGGCTAGATGGCGAAATTTCCTGGAAAGTGAGGAAAGTTATGATAGAGTGATTTCTCAGTGTGATTGGTTTTGCCTTAAGAACACTTCAAATATAACTGTGGAGCATTAAAAAAGAAATGCGTATTCTGATTTCAGATGAAGGAATACAACACGAAGTGCAGCAAGTTGAGTAGACTATTTCGTAGAGAAAAAATAGTGTTCATTATAAACAGAGAAATGGAGGAGACATTTTGTGTTACTTGCCAATGTTAGAAGACATCTAAAGAGCCGCATGATGTGGTGGTGAACGCGTTACTCCTCGGAAAGGACAATAGCGCGTTCGTTCGCCACCGCAGACACCTGCGGTTCGGAGTTTTGCAAATATGTCAGCATCATTGAATACATCTGAAGAGTTTCTACTCACCTGTAGATAAAGAATGAGCGCCGCATCACTAAGTGGGGAGAACACGGCCGTGATAATCCGTCCCACAATCAGAATCTGAAGTAGAGTGTCGAAAATGACGCGACGGTGTTGCTTGTGACTATTTCACGAAAAAAAAACCGCTCGAGTGTGAATTTCGAGTGGATTCGAGTTCACCTCTGGGAACGGTGTGAGTGAGGCTACCATTTGCATTCCGCACGCTGCCGCCATTACTATCGTAGATATCACGTACGCTGCTAAAATTAAAACATAACCGTCGCTGACAACCAAACATCTAGCATAAGCTTCGCAAAGATTTCTCCTCTCTGTGATAATTATCTTGTGAGAAACCCGTTCAGGGAGAAAGGGCTCGGATAGCTTAGGTATAACCACCCACTTATATAATGGCATGCTTTAAATATTATACATAGAAGACGTCAGAGTGCTTGCAAAATTGTATGGATGTGCATGGCATTCATGACTATCGTGTAAAATTGTCTAAAATCTACATTAGTTAAGAGTGTTCTGATTTGAGATGCACAAAGATTTATGAATGGTCAACAAGTGCCTCAATCTTTCACACATTAGAGGCGACGTTCCCGGTAATTTAGCCGCTCTTAAGATAAAGAGAATATAGTTTTACAGTATGAGTCACTGGATAATCTCGATTATGCCTGACCACTAGTCAGGACTATCGTAAGCTACGTCAAGCAGAGTTGAGGATGGAATAAGTCGTGACATAGGCGCTAATTTACAAACAGAGTTGAGTGAATATTGAAATTGAACAGCAAAAGTGGTAAAGGTGATAGAGTTTGACAAGCGCTCGTAATATATTTCACATTCCACCTAAACCATACAACGCCAGAGAGGAATCGTTTCCTGGTGAAAGGACAGCTTCGTTGAGCTGGCAACAAGCGTAAGTTGGTGTAAGAGGCTCAGCTGTCACCACCACCAGCAAACTCCTTCAGGAAACTTCCTTCTGCGCCCACAAATGACAACTATTCGATAACACTGACATGGCATCCTTTGTCAGGATTGCTAACCCCATGGACAACTTTTCGGCTAGTCGTCGATGACTACCAACTGGATCCGGCTAAATGTCGCGGCTAATTTATGAATGGTGTTGTTCTGCTACAAAGCGAGGTTATCGTCAACTTCGACTTCTGCACTCTTCATCAATAACCGTCAAAAGGTGGACATCCCGAGAGACTTACTGACGATTTGTCGCTAGTTTAACAACGTTTACACTTTTTTAACTTGTTATTTTCTGCCTACTCTTTCTTAATGGCATCTTTTTGAAGATTTCAATTCTAAACATGTTCAAGTTTGAAAGGACAGTGTATAGAAACTAAGTATGAGTTGGTGTGATATAGCAAAGTCTTTTCTATAAATCTATTAAATCCCAAACTTCTGGAACAATTTATTGATCGAGTAATTGCCGCTTTCTTAATATTGCGAAATATAACTTTCAATGATGCTGAAATATTTGCAAAGTTCCGGACCACAGGTGTCTGCGGTAGAGAACGAACGCGCTATTGTTCCGGGGAACAACGCGTTCACCACAACACCATACGGGTCCTTCGTTTCGCCTGTCTCTCAACTAGTTCTATGTAATGTTCTAATGTTTACATTATTAATCCATATGCGACGAAAGAGGTTTTTTTTCGTAAACTAGCGGCAATTACTCGATCAATAAATTGTTCCAGAAGTTTGGGATTTAATAGATTTATAGAAGAGACTTTGCTATATCACACCAACTCATACTTAGTTTCTATACACTGTCCTTTCAAACTTGAACATGTTTAGAATTGAAATCTTCAAAAAGTTGAGAATGAAATTTAAAAGTTTTAAAAGTTCCAAAGCAGTAGGGGTGGTTGCAAATATATATTGGGGAAACATTGTTATATACTGCCAGTTGAAATTATATTTATTAATTTTTTTCTTTTCTTACCCGAACTGAGCTTAGAAGCCGGAAAGTGGAGGCGACACGGATGTCGGGCTCCAGAAAGCAGAATTTCATCGTGATAAGGCAAAAAATCTTTGTTCCATAGCATAAGATTTACTGCTTCTAATACTTTCATTAATATTAACAAAATTCACAATGAGCTGAGATATGCTGATTTAAAGTTGCAAGCGGTCATTTTGTCATCGCATGACTCCTGTAGAGGTCACGTCGCCATGCAAATGTTAAAACTCAGCGAGATGGTGATAGACATTTCCTATTATTGCAGAGATATTATTTGCAGCATTTTTTGTAGAACATCCTTGTAGGAATTTGAACTCAGCAAAAGTTGTTGTCTCAGCTGAAACCAAATAAGAAATGAAAGGAAAATGTAGCAGAAGGGGCGTTACTTTGACTTAGAGACGTTCTGATTTGTTTCAACGCTACAAAGTCAGATTCACGTAATAAACAACTTCGAGCCGTGCTGGAGAGCAAAATAAAGCAATTATTTCACTACGTGACTACTCACTTCGTAACAAAACTATTTCGTGCTTAATAAAAAAGTGGTGGGAGCGTTTAGCCGCAATAAAAGCATAAACTCCACTTCTCTTGACAAGTGTTACCTATGCTTAGAATTCTTTGGAAACGATTCTGAAACTGACGTTTTCGTCCCCAGTTATCGCAGATATAAGGACTCATAATTGCTCCGGCAACTTGCCCAACGTACCAGACACTGTTTATACCAGACTTAATCAGTGAGACCTAAAATTGAACCAATGGAAATAAAGCAAAATCATGATAAGATAAATAACCTGCCTCATGATGATCCAGAGGACGATAGCGATCGGCGAAAGAATCGTTCAGATATTCGTTCATCTTGAGAACTGCGGAATTTACGGACGTATGCGTGAATGCCGCTGGGAAGTTAGTAATAGAAGTTAAGATCCATCCGATAACGAAAAGACGAACCCCGGCAATGGAGCATAGGGTGATGGCTTCCATTATACTAAGCAAAAGTAGAAAGATATGACCACCGAAGGTAAATGCACCAGCGACATTGAGATGATTTGAAGGTCGATCCAAGATAAGTGTACGAATGCGGGTCAGCGACCATATATCTGAATACAAGGATCAGCTCTGTCCAAAAAGCGACAACTTAAAACGGAGATGCTTTCTCCACTTTCCCTAGAAAATAGAGTACACGTAACTAAAAGAAATCAAGTCTGAAATAATCGGTTTAATCGCAACCCCCTATCTAAACGAAACAGGCGAGATACTTTTTAGAAAAGGCTAGCATATGCGATGTAGTAGCCATAAAAGCTGTATTTAGTAGAAGAAGGAGCTTAAATTACCTTAGGGCAACACATAAAACATTTTCAGCAAAAGATCAGCGTAAAAAACCAACAGAAAACCGTTTTTCACAAGAGCCGTTTTCACATCTAGTGTGCGAATCCCTGCATTTGCATTCGATTCGTTTCTTGGCATACAACATTCATCTATGTTCTTGAACTTTTCGAGGATGGGGTAGGTTGCCACTTGAGGATTGTCGTCTCCTCAGTGATTGCCGTTGAATGACACTCGAAACGATTCCGCGTATAGTCCTGGAATTGCTGGGCTAGAGCGTTCTGACTTGGGCTGTGTAGAGCGAGGAGCTATCAGCCAAGTTTATTATCAATTCCCTCAGCCCGGAGGAATGAGAGGCTTGGTGGAACCGCGCTAGCAATGATCGGCATCATTACTAAGGCGTTACCCGTCTCCCTGAAAACAACTTTGCAAAGAAAATTTCGAAGGGCTTCGAAACAACGGTTTTGTGAAGTGGTTCAGGTAAAGAATCGCTGCCACCATGTCAGCGGAGAGATGCATTATCTAGCCTGTCATGGAAGAAGGAAAAGTTTTGCTTTGCCGAGGCATTAGCCCACTTCATAGCCATTTATAAAGTGATGTAAACTGCTGACTTGGCAAACCGTTGCTTAAGGGCAAATCTACCGTCTCAATCCTATTGGAGGACAAAACATAAGTGGGAGTTATTCAGTTTATACAGCAATTAGGTGTGAGTGTGCCCTCTGGGATATACGCCCGTGGAAATTTTCTGAGCAACGTATTGGGGTATCGAATGACTACTTCCTTCAGTCTGTTTGTGAAAAAAAAAACTCTAGAAACGCGAAACATTTTTATTGAATATCATCGAGCATCGTTACATGAATATTCATGTTTCTAGACTGAATTGAATATGATTGAATTATTTCACCTTCATCGGAACGTGAACAAATAAATAACTTTAATAGAGCTTGATTATATAAGCCTTTCAAGTTCTTGGTGACCTCAAGGCTCATGTTCTGTCATTGCAAGTAGACGTATAAAATTCGCAATTGATAGGATCACAACCAAGCGATGGTTCCCTGGAAGGAAAATCATTGCTTTAAATGTATTAAGTTAGAGCTTTAATGAGATGAGATTACTACTAAATAAAATGACAGGAAAGAAAAAAGAATAGCTGAAGAGTTCCCAAACAGGGTAGTGGAAGTTGAGTTAGTAGAGGCGGTCATTGTAAATTATCAAGGGACACCTCTGAGAATATCATTCATTCGAACAGGTTACCCTGTTATACGTACGTCACTCCCTCCTATTGTAGCAAATATTTCGTAGCTCTGTAAGAAATGGAAAAGACGGTTAATGACTTTGGCCGAGGTCGATTGCAAAATGAAGAAGTCCGTTGGTAATGTAATTCTTCCGTTTAGAGTAGTGAGGAAGAAAGGACTGCGATATCGAGGTAACCAGTTGTCCTATAAAACAGGAATAATTCGGTCGCTATGCTACGCAGTTCCGCAGAATCTATTACGTTTTTCCTATGAAACCGAAAACTGGTGATTTCTATCGTTCAGTGCAGATGGCTGAAAGACATGGTAAGGCACAGTAAGCCAAGTAGAAGTACCTAAGAATTTTTGCGTGAATAGACAATTACAGTGTTCGAAATCGTTTCCTGGAAATAAAAAAACGTGCACCTTGTCAGCAGACTAATCTGAATTTTCTAAAACTATTGTTAAATCATAGATAGGTTGATGCGAAATTGGACCATGACAGTGAAAAATATGATCCAATTGTAATGTAGCTTTAGTAATCGGAATGGCAGAAACAGCGACCTAAACATTTGGACCTACAAGAGACAAGTTTGTTTATCCCGGCTGCATAGAATCCTAAGCTTATAGACACCATCGTACGTCAAAAGCGGTTTTCAGTGCAGTGGCTCCGTCATTGAAAATTTTCTGAGATAAGAGTTGAAGAAATGCTTGAAAAAAGTGGTGAACAATTGACGAAAAGTTAAACGAATGCAGCGGAAGAAGCAGAGCTTCGCAGCTCAACTCATTCGACTTCTTCAGCGCCACTTGTGCAACGCGTGGTTGAACACGCCGTGGAGGGTTGCATCTTTTTTGTTGGCCTTGTGCGGATAACTCTGCTCCAGCTGTAGATAGATTTCATCGACATTCGTGACAACATTCGTCTGCTATAGTCATTTCATCAAGATTCAAACTGCGGTGCAGAACTCTGAATGCAGACCACCGAACAGCAATCTTAAACCTCTTCTGGCGCAGATTTAATCTGGGAGCATCATTTTGGTCCAAAAGCTCTACTTAACGATCTCTGTTATCGTTAGGATTCACTTTTAATCGCACATCGCAACGCAGTTAAGAAGTGAGTCGTTTTTAGTAGCTTAAAAGAAGCGAAGAGTAAAATTCACAATAACAAAATGTGTACACTTTGTTCAGTTTGTGCGGTAGCCGATCTCTTCCTAGTGACAAACAACTGTTGACTGGTCGATGATGAGTTTTTCTGCAACCTACTGAGTAGTTCGCTGTTTTCTTGACAAGCACTCAAGACGTTCTTGCTTTATTCCTTATCTACAAGGAAAAACAAGAATTAAGACATAACGGAGAACGGAGAATATTTTCAAGTAGAAGCTGCTATCTTCGCTCAGGAATTTAAAACTTCAACGCGCAAAACTCTCAAAGCATTCTCGATATTGTCACCGCAAGTCATTGTAAAGGCCAGATATGCATTCAATCACTTCCAAACTATGCTTAATGAAGTAGAATGCATGGCGCATCCCTCAGGGATAAATCAACCCGAGAGCTTTATCCTTTTATCCTTCCCGCAAAGGTATAGACGGTGCATACTGCGCTCTACGAAGCAGGAAATAATTAGACAACAAATGAATCGAAAAGAAGCAAAATTTATGAAGAACGTCGTACATAAAAGAGAATAGATATTCCTGTGTGGATCTCCAATTGTGGAGACCACATCCTGTGTATGCCTGGGCCGTTCAATGAATTATATATGACGATTTGAGAAAAGAATGGGTTGAAGACAAGAACCACAAACAAACCTCTCACGGCGGTGTACGGTGTACGTTTATGGTTGCTGATCTCTATATACGAGCTCGCTTATTTAACTCAGCGGTTCTTTCAACTCAGTCCAATCAAAGAAGTTACGTGCTATACACAGGGCACTCGACAGATGTCTCCTGAAGATGAGCCGGGAGGTTCAACACGAAGTCGCTTTTCGTGGATCAGATTTCTGAAGAATGTCTCTTCCTCGATACGCTGCAGAATACGTCTCAGGAAAGAACATTGAGAGGCGGTTGTATAACAAGTTGAAAAGACGACATGTGGATTAAAAAGCATTAGAGTAGATACCGAGAAAATCAAAACCACTTAGACAAAAAACGCCTTTAAGGTGAGCCGACGCGTTCGTTCTACTGACATAGCAACTATGCTCACAGACCAAGTCAACGTTCTCGTTCTTTAACTGCAACGGAACCCATATTCACATGTAACCAGCTCTTTGGTTCACGATTGCAAGACAACAAAGCAAATTGAAAAAGTGGTGGCTTCAGCCCGACATTAGAGGGCCATGCAACCATTGCAACCATATTTAGATATTGCCATCAGTATCTTTCCGGGTATTTAACACCTCCATTTCGATAACTATCGCTGGGGTAAAACCTTTGTTATACCTCACAACTCGGCGTCTAGAATATGTAACAATTAAGAACTGTCTAATATTTGGGAGGTAAGCAAAAAAGCATTACTATGCCAATATAAGACGTTACTGGTAAGCTTATATGAGGTTGTCGGAGAATGGTTTTTATTGTAAACATTGCGTCCTTTAATAGCCACAATGATTCAAATTGAACGGTCATAGAGTCAAATCTCCCGAAATGTCTTCGTAGTCACATCGAATAGAACCCAGCGAGAGGATTATTTTACGAGTAGAGAGTCGTGGTCACAAACATGATGAAAGCCGGAATAGGGATCTGCATGTTGTGCTTCTTTCATAAGTGAATAGGGTTCACAATATTTCTTCCATGTCATGCGTAATAATGGATGAGAGACAAAGAATTCGATGTGGTCAATCCTTGAGAGATGAGTGTCCATTCAATCCCCATCAACATCGAATGAGGTACTTGAATGTGTATCTGGCTTAAATAATAACTTGCAGTGGACTGCCGATGTATTAAGTCAGTGGTGCTATCTTCCCAAACTATTCTGGTGGCGATTCGCCGACACCGGTGGCATGCAAGGCATGGCTGGGGCAGGACACTAGATCGAACCAAGGATCGCATATGCATTTCAATATATTTCTAACCACTGAACTAAGTGCACCGTCGTTTTGTGCAGTAAACTCATTCATATTTCTTTCGTCAAATTTGTGAAAGGTTTTTGTTTGTGCCGATATGTGTAAACAGTATTGTGTTATGTGTCCACTTAACTAATGGTAAACCTACCCGTAAACTTCTCAATCGAAGTGAGACTGTTCTATTGCACCTCGAAGTGAGCTAAATCGAGATATTAAAGTGCTAAAAAAAAGTACAGAGAACAACCTGCACCATAAAATAATTTCGTTATTTTTTTTATCTAGTTTGCTGTCTTGAAAGGACTCCTCTGTTTCAAAAACTGAACACTGTGTCACACCACCACAATATTGCCATTTTCATGTTTCACTGACAGCCTGATCTTATCAGACCTTCAACTGTACAAATTCCGAGCAGCTAATCTAGAAAAGTGGGGGCGTGTGGCGCAGTAGTCGGATGATCCCCGCGCCCATGGCCCACCAATCTTTCCATTCCTTCGGGGTCGGCAAATTGGTGCCAGACTTTTCTGAGAGGCTAGCATCACCGGCTCGATACATCGGCAGGCTACCGGGAGTCATTGTAAAGGCCAGATATGCATTCAATCACCTCCAAACGATGCTTAATGAAGTCGAATGCTTGGCGCATCCTAAGGATTTGATCAACGCCGAGATCTTCATCCTTTTTTTTTTATTCTGAAAAAGCTACGTCAAGAAGATGACCTGCTGGTTTGTCCCACCTTGAGAAATCTATGTTTTGACCTACGCCGGAATTCGATATATTGAATTGTGTCCCATTAGGACGTCGCTGTATCGATCTGTGTCATGCAAAACTCGGTGTATTAATTTCTGCGTACTAAGAAATGATAGTGATATCTGCCTTGGGAGTCAATGATGACCAGATCTCTGTCGTGCTGACAAATCAATATATTCATTTGTATTGCATCAAGAAGTCACCATGCTGACTGCGCTGCACTAGGAAGCTAAAGTATTGATTAGTGTGTGGTTAGATACATGCCGTACATGTCGGAACAGTACCGTGCTCTTGTGAACGTGGCAACGTGGACGTGGCCGTATGATCCCTACTGCTACCAAGCGATTAAGCGGTTATCCGTTACTGGTGCTATCAACACATTCGTGATATTCATTCCAATTCATTCACAGCAGCGCTATGTCGGAAGGTGGTGAGAAAAAGAAGAAGGAGAAGAAAGCGTTCGACGTTAAGAAGTTCACCCTCGACCTCATCACCGGCGGCACGTCGGCCGCCATCTCCAAGACTGCCGTCGCTCCAATTGAAAGGGTTAAACTTTTGTTACAGGTGAGATTCTTTCTAGAGGTGTTTTCAAACACTTTAGTTCATCGGGGTCAGGCGCTATTACTATTTGCTGTTGAGTATGTTTATTGCTCGCAAGCTCTGCACTGCACTATGTTCCATCCTAAATATTACTTTTCCAACGACGTCTATCTTATATTTTCGCAATCGCTACCGGCCATGAACTTGCCTCTCACAAAATCGTTTCTGGAGCATAGTCTTTTTTCGCGAAATATCCCAAAGAAGAAGGAATTCCGAATATGCAATTCTAACCTTGTATTTTCTGTCTACTACAATTTGTCACGGCAAGGTATGATGTGAATAACAACCACAGCGATGCTAAGATATTCGCAAAACTTGGACCCCGGGCCGCCAGATCGAACCACGGTATCCCTTTCCGGGGGCAATTCCAAATATGGTTCTATCTTTCTATTTTGTTTCCGTCAATCCAGCTTCTATTCTGTTTGTCTTCATTATTATTAGCATAAATGTGTCACTTACTAATTTATACCTTACAGCGTCCACTGGTAGTGCTATATCGCGCTGATATCTATGATTCTTTAGCTTTATGACAAGTAGTCATTAATTATCGACCGACCGTATGAGATGGTCCATCAAGTCATGTCTGTAACATATTCAGCGTGCTAAAACTTCTGTCGTGAATACACACGTGAGCGCTGAGCGTCATCGATCAATAAACACTGTGTTGGCGTCTTCCGCGCGCCATGGTGATCAATAACGCCACCATTGTATTAGCACCACTATAGTCTAGTCGAGCCGACTCTCAGCGACCCGATGGCGTGCATTTCATGCTCGATGGACTTCTAATGTAATGGTGACATTGTTGGTTAAACTCTACGAAGTCTAGGTACAAGATGCGTCGAGTACGATTGCGGCCGACAAGCGATATAAGGGAATAATCGACGTATTCGTGCGTGTTCCAAAGGAGCAGGGATTTTTCTCGCTCTGGAGAGGAAACCTTGCGAATGTGCTCAGATATTTCCCCACACAGGCGCTCAATTTCGCATTCAAAGACACGTATAACGTGCTGTTTCTAAAAGGGTTCGTGCCATTTCTTCGTTATTTCTGGGTCGGTCAACGCTGATGAGCTTTTCTTTTCAGTATTGACAAGAAGAAAGAGTTCTGGAAGTTTTTCGCCGCGAATCTTGCCTCTGGAGGAGCTGCGGGCGCGACCTCCCTCTGTTTCGTCTATCCACTTGATTTCGCACGTTAGTTACATGTGAAAGGTTAAGTCAGTGTTAAAAATGACAAAGCCACTGAACATTAGCGGTGCATGCTATCCAAAACAAACCTGTTATTGACGGTGAATCAAATTGATAGATAAACATGCTTGTTAATTCAGATTTCTACCACCGCTTCTTTTTCTATCGTCGATCATTAATTCATACATGACACTATGGGTGAGCAAATATATCCAAGAAAGGATAAAGGGGAAAAGCTCTCGGCGTTGATCAATCCCTTAGGTATGCGCCATGCATTCGACTTCATTAAACATCGTTTGGAGGCGACTGAATGCATATCTGGCTTTTACATTGACTCGCGGTGGCCTACCGATGTATCGAGTCAGCGCTGCTACCCTTCCAGACAAGTCTGGTACCAATTTCACGAGCTCATGGGGTTGGAGTTCTTGGTAAGCCTGGAGCGCGGGGATCGGTCTCATGTGTATTGCAGGGCGTCTCTGACCACTGCGCTACATGTGCCCTTAATATACCCTTAGTGAGTACTAAATAGAACGGAACGAGTGTCAGACCACTGGTTCACTTCTTGAAGTGGTCCATTCACTATTTTGCATAGTTGCTCCTTCCTTATTTTTTTTCTAGAAACAGCTTAGTGTGAACTTTCTAAAAATGTTAAATTTATTGAAAAAATCAAAAGGGCATTAAGTTAAGCACCTCATCGTTTCCATCTACTTGGATGAAGATTTAGCTATAATTAAGCTATTGTTACAGTAGCTTACTTTTTTATTTTTGTATGACCCATTATCTCACCTACTATGTATTTCCCAGCACTTCTTGCATACGATTCGTTTTCCTCCCACTCATCGTCCACAAAGTTCTTTCAGCAATTCTCCTGTTGTTCCAGCTGTTACTTGAGGACTTCGTCTTCTTATTGAACGTCGCAGAATGCTAGTCGAGTCAACTCGCCTTGCAATCTTGGAGAGAGCCCGGTTAAGGCGTTTCCACGTGGATTGATGGAGAGGGTTAGTGTGGGGATCGAACCAGCGCCTTTCGCTTCATGATCGACGGCATCACTAACCACTTCGTTATCCCCACCTGCAATAGGTTATAGAGAAAGGAATTCGCTTTCTTATTTTCAGTGGTATTTATCGTGTTATGCTTCATTATATTCGTGCTTTGCTCTATTGTTGAAGGTTGTTATAGCCCTACCAGTTTCGTAATATGTGTCGTAGATATTGCAAGCGTTGTCAACCACAGGTCGACGATAGTTAAGATGTATGGTATTCGAGTGTAGTTGGCAAGCTTGGTTTGGGGCACGAACATCTTATATCGCCAAAGGGGCGGCAAGTGTACGAGTTGTTCAGCACACGATGTACGCTGGATCACACTCACTCGCAAACCACGACCTACAGCTTGAAAAAACGGAGAAGAGGAGTTAAAAGACACTACGAGGCTCATTAAGACAAGAATGGCGCTGTATCTCGCGTTGTTTAATGCAATGAATTTCACAGGGTTAAGCCTGCGTTCTTTTTCTTTCTTCTTTTTTCTTTCTTTCTTCTTTTTCTTTTTTTTATGTGGAAATTTGGTACGAAGCACACAAAATGTGCTTTTGATAGCGAGCACCGATGCAGAATGTCGTCATTTTGTAATAATATATTGACGTCTCTTATGTGATGCTATAACTAGGAACGTTCCATATTGCCACTCTAAGCTGCTCTAAAATACCATCTCTTTCGAAGCATTCAGCAGAAATTGCGGTGTGGAACATCTCTCCACCTTGAACTGCAGGCTAAGAACGAAACGGACTCAATGTGTACGTGGATTCCCTTCTCACCGCGTTCAGCTACTTAATTATTTTCAGGAACTCGTCTCGCTGTTGACATTGGAAAGGCCAAAGACCGAGAGTTCCAAGGGCTTACTGACTGCTTGGTCAAAATTGTCAAGTCAGATGGGCCAGTAGGTCTTTACCGGTTGGTGTCTTTGTATTTTTTGCTTTCTAGAGAGCCACAAACTATCTCGATAGTTCCCAAGATCGACTTTCTATTAGCCTCGGCATTGGAATATGAATGCGTCGTTTTCTTGTTCAGCAATCGCGAGGTTTTTAAACAGCATACATTTACTTCCATAGGAAACCACAATACAATACAACACCAGCTGACGTTTCGGCAATATCGCCTTCTTCGGAGCCTGGAAGGGTATGCTGGTATACAATCTACTGGGCCAAACGCTTCAATAACACTTGGAAAAAGAAGAGGAAACTCTTTGGTAATTACATGATCAACAACTTCTCGAAAAACCCACCGCTTTTTCGTGACTTCCAATGAGGAAGTTTAGAACAGCTGATTATAGTCGCATGTGGTTGACGACTGCACCATCCCATACGGGAACATACGGGGTCAGGTCGCGTATGACCTCCGGACATTCATCCCTGCTATTCATATTCATTGTAGGGTTTTTGGCATTGATCCAAAAAGCCTCAAGGAGTTTTCGCGCTGGTGTTTTGGACTCCTGTGCAAGGATATTGACTTTTACTTCAAAATCGATTGTCAAAATCAAAACCTACTAGATTGTATATCAGTATACCCTTCCAGGCTCTTAAGAAGGCGATACTGCCGAAACATCAGCTAGTGTTGTATTGTATTGTAATTCTTCGTATTTTTGTTGAGCAAACGCGAGGTGTTATTATTCTTTATTCACGACTAAGCTGACGTTTCGGCGGATTTCGTCTTTCTCAGAGCCTGGAAAGGTCAAGTTGATAGCAATCTATTCGGCCAGACACCATAACCAAACAGAGAAACTCTAAACCAAAATTTCAATCACATTGAACACAGCTTTGCACACTCACGCTTTCTATGAGGTTTCCACTAAGTATGTCGCGTGAAGACCAACCGCACAGAAATCACATGGAAGCATAATGCATACATTATAACGCATACAGCAGCGGGATTCGTACTCTGGTATGGTCTCCCGAGCTGAGAAGGAGTCCAACGTTTCCATCAGGAAGCCTAGCTAAGAGTAAATCAATGCTAGGATCAACCACACTGTTTGTATCAAACTAGTTGTATGCTGGAAAATTTCCCTCTGATCCATAAGAACGGCGACTTCCTGTGGTGGTGCCAACCTGGGGCAGACTTTGGCTAGGCTGACCTCGGGAATCCAGGGAGCCACAATGGGTAAACCACAAAATGTCCGAAAAAACGGAGATTATGCTAGGACCCGCACAATCAGTGAGGATGGACCATCCAATTATCCAAGTAAGCTCAATATAGGATGCTAGTCTTCGCACGATTTTCGACACCGGCCTTTTTTGTTATAAGCGTAGAGTGTACCTAGAACTTAGGTAATTAAGTCTATAAACAATGCACTAATATAACAACATCGGCATGGCAAAACTAACATTGCAAAAGCTATAACAAGAACAACTGGAAAGGGTGAAAAACAGAAATACGAATAACCCTGTTGCATCAGTGGTTAAAACACTACTGCGCATTACACGTGTTACAGTGGTTGATGGTATTTATGTGAACTGAGAGCTCTACAGCTAAATTACATGGAGTAAATCAGTGATAAAAGCATAACTATTGTAAGAACAGGATAGAAGGAAATAGAATATTGACTGATGTTGCTGCCTATATTTCTGATGGAATAGACAGAGTTGCGGCGTAGCCTCAGAGTTTCCATCCAGTTTAGGCCAGCAGAGTCTATTCATCGCGTACAGAGCCACCCCAGGCAAACAATGCATGGTATAAAGGACAGTTTTTGCAATAAAACTGTTTCTATTCGTGTCAAAACAACAGAGAGGAAGCTTAGTTCACATAAAAAATTCGTCAGGACATTTCTTCCTATGACATACATTTGGAGATAGAAATAGGCAGTATATTCCACTAGCTAGAGAATAGTTTTTATGAGCTCTTCATTGTTTGCTGTGCTGACATTGAGTGTTCAATAACGATCTACAGCGGGAATTCATCCACATCCAGCGGTCTTCCAAGCTTAGAAGGAGTTCGCCTCCTCTTTCGTCGCGGAACCGAAAACATAAGTAGATCAAACCTTTGACAGTTTTAAGCATTCAACCTCCGTATTCTTTATTAGCGAGTTCTTCCAGAGGATTCGTCGTTTCCGTGCAAGGAATCATCATTTATCGTGCGGCATATTTTGGTATGTTTGATACGGCGAAATACATTTTCACGTCCGATGGCAAAAAACTCAACTTCTTCGCTGCATGGGCAGTTGCACAGGTAAATGAACAAAGTTTCGAAAAACGTTTAACCTTCCAATGATTCGTCATTCTTACCGAAAGGGCTCAAAATAACCTATGAAGATCTAAGAAAGAAACACATTCGTGCTTCAGTGTGTACAAACAGCAAGAAGGAATGTAAAACCTCTTGCCACAATGCTTAGCATAACTCGATCTAACTAATTGAATATCGCGACTTGAAGGTTTGAGAAATTTTGCATACTTTTAAGAAATCATATAACCGCGTTAATCATGGAATGACTCGAGCTAGTGTCAGTAAAGCGCCTCCTTGTTTCTATGCACCCAAGAGTTTTTGGGCGTCTTCGGTTTGTTCTAAGCACACAAAAAACACCACGTATTTTCGTAAGAGACCATTTAATCTTAATGGGCGCTGTATGGATTACTTATATAAGAGACGAAATTAATTTGTTGGAGGAAACAATTCTAGTGTACTGCTCTATCGCTTTAACATAAGCATAAGGCCGATTCATCATGCAAAGTTCAATTTCCATATAAGTAAGCAAGCGTAGACACGTGCGGACAAATATGACAGATTGTAAACGAAAGCTGTAAGCTCGCTTTATAGCGCAGGAACCCATTCAATAAAACCACGTGCATCCAAAAGTATGTACACGGTTTCCACCTAGGCTGCATTAGACCATTTTGCCATGCGAGAACACATCACAAAGCGTAGAAACTGACCCAGCAGCGACTCCTCACAAGTGAGAAATTCGTGGGTTCACATAGAAAAAATTCAGATAACCGTGACCTTATGGTTTTGTTGCTATTAGGGACATTGCTGCGTCACTTAGAGCGACATGATTAGCATTGACGTTATCTATGCCCGTACGTAAATGACGCGAATGATGATGGTCTTTGAATATATTTCTCCACCAGTGTAACATATAGAAACTGATAACAGCATATTGAATCAGGTTGTGACTGTGAGCTCCGGCATCTTGTCTTATCCATGGGATACAGTACGACGGCGAATGATGATGCAGTCTGGACGATCGGATATCCTCTACAAGAATACGTTGGATTGTGCCATAAAAATAATTAAAAACGAAGGAATGGGTGCCATGTTCAAGGTAATTTTTTAATGCGTAATATCACAGGATTCTATACTTTAGAGCAAATCTATTTACAGGGAGCGCTGTCGAACATATTCCGTGGTACTGGAGGAGCACTCGTACTCGCTATTTATGATGAGATCCAAAAATTCTTGTAAATTAGTGCCATGGCTTTGTGTGAACGTTTTCGAACTGATAAATGGCACATGGTGGTGTCGCAGTGGGCGCTTACAAGCCGTTCCCTGATCACGGCTCGATGACATTTTGAATTGCTACTGTTAGTCTATATCCATAATTGAATTCATGAAGCAAAACAATGGAATTTCCACGATTTGAGAGTATCACTTTGACAAGTTTTATTCGTTTTAATCTCAATCTAGCTGAAGAGAAGTCCTATAGTAGATCACTGAACAAGAAACAACAAGTTCTGATACCATAGATAAGCGATGCATGCAGTTGCCGTTGCAAAATCTATTCGTGGCAGAATTTATTTGCAGCTTTTACACTAACAAAAACAGCCATTATTTTGGTATTTGTTGGTACCACGTGAACGACCGCGTTTTGGTACACAAACTCGTCTCCAACCCCTTCACGCTGAGTACCCAGGAGTCAGCGGAGCCGATATGTGTCGCAAGTATCGTTATCAAGCGGTTCATGCTCCGGCTATTGCTATCAAAGCGTAAGATCCTGAGTATATCTGAGATTCCTCACAGGGTATTCAGAAGAATTGTGCGCGTTACTTTTAGCTATGGATCCACCCACTCATTGCTTTCGTCCGAAAGTCTTATTCTTGGGGGTGAAGCGTTAGAAATAGTTAGGTCACCTCTGACCATTACGCTACACGCACCCTGACTATTCTTATGGAGAATAGAATTAAGAATAGAGAGAAATAGTACAATTCTATAATGGTGGTCTGATAATACGATTAACAGAAAGTTGCTCGTAATTCTTCTTAACCTTTAGGAAATTTCTTCAGAGTTTTGGACATACTGTATTGGAATGATAAAAGTGATTAAAAAAAAGTCAGTTAGTCAATCCCAGAGGGACACACCTTGCATTTCACTTCACTGAGCATCGTTAGAAGTGATAGAACGCATATCTGGTTTGTACGTTAACTTATGATGGTCTGCCGATGTATTAAGTCAATACTGCTATCCTACCAGACAAGTCGGTCCCGATTCGTCGACCACAGAGGGATGGAATGATAGTTGACCTTGAACAGCTGGGCCAACTGTTGTAGTTCACATAATGCACTGCCATGAAAAAATAATTGGCAGTGAGTGGAAAGGTGTATTGATCAAACTAATTATACAAAATACACAACCATTATAACCGGAGCGGTATGGAACCGGTGGGTGTAAAAAGCTTGAAATTGACAGAAACAATTCAAATTCCATAAAAAACCATGTGGAAATCCAGTAGAACGTTGTATGCTATAAAAAGATAGGAGATCAAGCTCTCGGAGGCGATCAATCCCTTAGGTATGCGTCATGCATTTGACTTCATTTATCATCGCTGGAGGTGATTGAATGCATATCTGGTCTTTACAATGATGACCAGCGGTGGCCTACCGATGTATCGAGCCGGTGCTGCTTTCCTCCCGAGCAAGTCTCGTACCAATTTGCTGAGCCCGGAGTGATGAAAGGCTTAGTGGCTCATAGGCGCAGGAGTCGATCCCATGTGAATTGCATTGTGCATCCGACCGCTGCTCCACACGCGCCCATGTTGTATGCCATATCCATTCAATTTTTGACCAATGATTAGTATTTTTTCAATGTATACGAATTTTTCTCCTCACACAAGAGTTTGATATGAGGGAAAAACATGGGAAGAGTGTGTGATAGAACGTAGAGCACTTATAGGATAAAAAAAGCGCAGAAATTCTTTGATAACGTAGATTATGGGACAGAAATCACAATGAAAGAGGCGAGGTTACGGGAAAATTTCCGGAATACACCATAGGTGTCACAGTGGCCACGAGAAATAATTAGACTGGTTCACTCTGCAACGAAAGCAAAATTGAGCGTCGTCGCGAGAGTGCTAAAGAAGTATGGCACAAATGGGAATCGAATAGCGCAGTGATGGAGATGTCGTTCAATATTCGCAAGACTTTGGTTTTGCCGCAAACTAGATTCAGCAAGCCACGTCTTTCTCCGGAGCTGGGAACTTGGCACCGAACTTGTTTGGAAAGAGTTCTCTCCGATCCACAGCTTCTCACCGCTGCCTGTGATGAAGACCTGCAGACACCTTAGCAGAGCTACTACTATCCCTGGAAGGATCAACTCGACCACTATTTAATGATGCACCTACAGATGACCAAAACTCCCGACGAGGCAAATGCATCCGAACTGGAATTCAACAGTCTTCGTAGGCGATAAATGCGAGGGAGCTTAATTGGAGAGGTGATAGGATTCGTACGACGTGTGATTTCCGGCTGTATAATATTGCGAAATAAAAATGGTATGAGCGCAAAAATTGAGCTGAGTTACGAACGCAAAGAAGAGACGACTCTCTTCCATATTCCACATTTTGTTTTGCGGTTGTGAATGTTTTAGCTGTTCACCTACAAGTAAATGGTTGTGGAGGGCTCGGGACCACCTAGTCAGCGATGGGCGACGGTGAGCGGTCTAACCATCCGCTCCCGCCGACCTATCGATCGTCTGCTACTCCTGTTCTTAGTCGAACCACCCCGCTGCTCTTCGATAATTCATTCGACCACATCTTAGTGTTTCCTACTTCCTTGAGCACGATCTTTCGGGTCAATCGGAGGAATTTCAGTCACAGATGCTTGCGAAGGACAGGAACACGATCATCTCTGTCATTGGCGCTTCTGTTCTCATCTACAAGGTTCGTTTTCTCGAGAAGTTTTTCGCGAGATAACAGAGGAATGTAAACCGTTCTTTGTGTAAACCTGAGAGATACTTACAACCATAAACCAAATTTGGCTCATTAGCTTCCACCTAGTTTTTGTGAAAAGCTATGTATTCTGGGCAGGCATGCATTCGTTTTGAAAGGCTCATTATTTTCGAGAGTTTCATGTCCATCAGCTCTTTGGTTGTATCGATTTTATCAAGGGATTTTGTTACGATAAAAGGGACTGGGACATAGAGGATGAAAGATAAAGCTCTCGGCGTTGATCAATCCCTGAGGGATGCGCCATGCATTCGACTTTATTAAGCATCGCTGGATGTGATTGAATACGTATATGGCCTTTACAATGATTCGTGATGGCCTACTGATGTATCGAGCCAGTGCTGCTATCCTCCTATACAAGTCTGGTACCGATTTGCCGACCTCCGAGGGATGGAAGGCTTGGTGGGCTGCAGGCCCGGGGGTCGATCCTATGCGTGTACTACAGGGCGCCTCTGACCACTGTGCCACACGCGCCTTGTAAACTGGAAATATAGTTATTAGACTCAGATCTCTAAACTTTTTACCAAATGAACTTACACATATTTACATAGGTGGTTTCACGTCTGTGGAGTTATTTCCGTTCTCGCTCGCATGACTTCATCCCAGTCGGTGTCGTGAAAGAACTCTATGTGTATCCGATCAAGTCTTGTAAAGGAATCAGCGTGAGTTACTGTCGTGTCTTTTTTCTTTGTACAAGTTGAAATCGCTAATCGTTTTCATCGCAGGTGTTTTCCTTCTTTTGTCATCGACTTGGCCCGGTCTTCGGCGAGAATTTCGATCGATACTTCATCGTGATTTGCGGGAAAACCGGCCGGTATGTAAACAGCCTATAATACGAACTGATAGACTTTGAACTGCAAAGGGTCATTCCTACCAGCTAGTATCCCAGTAGCGTTGTATCCTTGTACTGCTCAGTCGCGTTAAATGGTAACGATTTTTTGTCGCTACTTAAACAGTTTAGTATAATCATTGTTGTAAATAGAAGAAGGTCACAACGTAGGCTCAACAGACCAAATGAATCGTCTGCTAACTTTAATGCGGATCTCGGGAAATGAGCTGGCAGTACCGTATCTGTACGATGTACCTAGGTTTCAAGCCTACAAGTCTTTTAACACCGTGGCCGTAACCACAACGATGCTGAGATATTCGCAAAACTTGGACCCAGAGCCAGATCGAACCATAATTGCCCCTTCCGAGGGCTCGCGTATTACACACTGCACCAGTATTACCAAATTATAGGAACCAGCAAATAAAAGGTTAACAATGTGGCTGTAGTTCTATGTTTTAATCTCATGATTCCTTATCGTAGTGCAATTTTCAAAAATTCCGCGTCGCAATCACCATTTGATCGAATTAAATGTCCTTTAAGACCTCGTTGGTGGGAACGTTGAGCAGCAAATGAACTAGCATATTCAGCTTTTACACAGCTCGTCAGAAGCCTGTCATGGTGACGATAAGTTGTGAAATACGTGATGGAATTCTATCGATCAGCTGGAAAGATGAGAGTGTTCATGTGGACATAGAGAAGGTCCGGAAGGAAAAAATTGTCAGGACCGCAGTGTGAGTTCTTCACTTCACGTTTCTCATTTCGATCTCATAGTTGGCGTATGATTCAGTCTTGTTATTTTCTCGTTTCGAAACGCTTCAGAACAACATTGGCTGCTCAGAGCGCGATAATTCTAACCCTTTATTGGCAACTTTTTTCATTGTTTTTCCTTTCTATTGCCTATCCATCGTTTTCCCACCGTGTGATGTAATCAGTGGGCGTCCTCGTGATAGAAGACTCGTGATAACACTTTGGCAAAGTACCAGAGTACCAAAACAACAAAACACTGCTGAGAGTGTGCGCTATGTATGGTTCATATTGGTGCGCTCACAGTGTGAACCATACATAGTGTGCTTTATGTCCCATATTTTTCAACTGTTTATTGGTCTGTACATCAATTTCCTCCGATTCTTCCTCATCGTAATAATCTCTGGTTTTTTTTTCATGTTTACCATTTCCTTCAGTTCCGTGGCTGTCATTTCTCTGGCTTCTGTTGAATGATATCGAGAGAATGGGTGAACTAATTTTCTAGCAAGTGATACACCTGTTTACCACTTATCAGCATCCCGGCTGTATCTATTGGCATCATTGCTACTGATGTAGCCACTTTGACAATCGAAGAAAGGTCACCACCGGCATGCATTATATCGGTAGCTAGTTATCATTCCAATTTTAGTACCATGACATCTAAAATGTCCATTGTGGTACTACTTTTCGATATAATATTAGGTGCTTTTCGTTGTAGAACTGCAGTATGTAGTAAAGATTCCATTGTGTGAGGGTAATTCAGTTGAGGAATCCTTCATCCTTGAGGCGACCCAGCTGAGCAAACCTACCAACTGGTGAGGCCTTCGGGCCCTCAATTTTTCACGAAAAACACACGAAAAAAGCATTACAGACAAAAACGATGTTCTTCGTTGCCTTTCGACTGAGTGTAAGCCACCGAACAGTTCTGAAACCCGGAGGTGGATGGCCATATTTGTACCATTTGTTTCATATATAGTGCCTATATGCTGGTAAACCTTGGAGTTTCATGTGACACAGAATTAGGAACAGAAAACCTACGTTTTGGGCAGTGTATTGCAGGTTTACAGTGATCTCCAAAGAAGGTTTTTTATGGAATTAAAAATATTTCTGCGGTACTCTCTTTAGTCGGCTCGACTTTGAGTAAATCAGAAGACATGAGTGTGCTATCATTTATCTCCTTATTTATAACAACTGTTTATCGAGCACTTTTACACGAAGCATAGATCGCTTTCGGAACACCGATGGGTCTGGCCACGTAATCGTCGCATTTAAAATTCCTAGAATTCCTCATCGTTTACTGCGATCTCAGCTTGCAAACCGGGCCAATATTCCTGACAACTACAGGAGCTCTGTCACCACTGAGTACTTCTCATAGCAAATTCGAATGCACTGCACTCTTGGCATAGCTGCATCACTGCTATCGAGGTGACCAGCCACCTATCCGATTAAGACTATCTGATTGCGACAATTGGTGAAAATCTCGTAAATGAGCGAACACTTTTGCAACACAGCAGATATTTTAGTACCAGTAATGGGTACTCATTCATAATACATAGGTTGGTAGTGCTTTTGTAGTAGAGGAGGTATGTTTATGGAATCAAGTCTGCTGTTCTTCTTATCCATCTGTTATCAGTTTTTTTCGTTAGACGAAATGCCGATCTAGTCTTGAGCAACACATTACAAAATTGACCACTTTCTTCTTATCCTATTGCCATATTTTTTTTATTTTTTAAAATTATATTGTGCGGTTCACAACACTTCTCGCACTCAATTCGTTTCCTCGCCGCGTGTGGGTGGGGCTGCTGGTTGAAGATTGTCGTCTTCTCTATGAGTGTCGCTGAATGTTAGTCAAGTCGATTCTCGTTGAACTCCTGGTATATCAAAACTAGAGGATTCTCACTTTGATTTCAAGCCGTGGATTGTTTCCATACAAGTATAGTACCAATTTCCCGACCTAGAGGAGATGAGAAGTTCAATGAGATCGATGCGTGGTCCAACGAGCGCCGTGCTCGGGATGAACATCACCACTACCACTGCGCTACCAGTGTCCCTGAGTGATATGTTACATATGTAAATGCAGAAATAATGAAGTAATACGGACATTGATAAAGATGCTGCTCATTACGTGGAAGGTCTCGGTTCCACATTGGCACATGCCAGCCAATCCTCTCATCACTCCAACAGCTGAAAAATTGTACCAAACTTCTCTGGAAAGAGCTTCCTGCAATCCACAGAAGCGGGCGGCTGCCTGCGGTGAAGGCTTCGGGACACGCTTTCACGGCTGTCCTAATGCAATTCCAAATGGATGAAAGAGTTCCACAAAAATCTGTGCCTGAACATCTTTACAACTGGTTTAAATATATGAATCTTCAATTGATCTAAATCCCGTGTCCATTCCGCCGTTTCCCAGAAATCCAATAATGCCAAGAGACAATGAAAGGACATTTAAATCCAACCTATGTTTTTGAGGAAGGTTATGCCAAAGTGAATTGCAGATTGCACTCAGGTCTGCGCACCGATGGTCTAGACTGTGGCGATGAAGCTGCCGAGTTCTTCTCTAAAGCTATTGAAGAGTCAGGTTTGAAGTTTCTGTATTGGTCTAGATTCCAAGCCTTACTATCAGATAATTTCTGTGCTTTGCACACTAGGTTTCTTATGCAGAATTCTGTTCATCTAGAAGAAGGGGTGGAGCCGTCATGAAAACGTCACATCAAACTTGTGTTGGCCCAGTGTTCCTCCAAATGTCAGTACTTAGAATTTTACCTCATCTACAACTTCGTTGAACATCTCGATTGGGTTTTCAATTAAATGCGGTATCAATAGTGAAATAAAGTTGAATTAAGGTCACATTGTGTGCCATTAGCCCAAGATGAGTCTTGGAATTCTACGATAACTAAATTAAAGTATGTCTCCTCTCTGGGCACAATTTTTTGTGGCTTTCTATTTAAGATGCTGGTAGACGATTTACAAATCAGTACCGTTTGGGTACAGAATAAACACTTTATTTCGTAGTGCCTTTGGAAATTACAGACGTTCGACTACTTATGTACACTGGAGGCTTATTCAACGAGAGAACTTGCATCCCGAATCCTGCATGGTGGAACAATAACGTTCCGAAAAGGATAGATAATGTAATCTACAGTATGTTATTAAAAATTTAAAAAGTACACAGGGTTTTATGCTTATTCACTGTCTGTTTTTTATCAACTTTTTTTGCATCGCGGTGTTTGACAGACTTCTTCCACCGTACGGATTTGTAACAGCGTTATTTAAGGCATAAATTATCGTAGATTCCGTAAATTCGGTATACATGAAAATTCATATTTCAAAACCGACTTTCCTTTAACCTCGGTATTACGAATCAATATGCATCCATTCTTTGATAGGGTTACACGAGATTATTTGGCTAACGTTAGCCGAATAAAAGTTGTTTATCAATCTCGTGTACCCTTATCAGAGAATGGATACATGAAAATTCGTTATCGTAGATGTTGTATGACGCATGTACTATCTGGTTCAAATCCTACACTACATCCTCAATAGCACCGTTCCCCTTCTCGTAGTTGAGTAATGAAGTTTTAAACTCTGTAGTACCAATGGGCAGTGTAAAGTTATACTCAAGAGATGATACCAAAAAGAAGTTTCCTCACTTGTAAGCGCTTCTCATTCCACACAACTTCACCGAGTTGACAAAGTGATAAAACGTTAGATTTGTTTACTTTGCTGCTTTATTGCCTACATTTCCGTACCAATTACCATATAAATGAAAACGGAAGTAATTGCCCAACCCTTATCAGCGGTATATTTGTTGAGCAGACGTTGATATTTCAGTGCGCGTACGCTGACCTAGCGCCATATATGCTGACGACACAGGCTTCGCTGGACGACCTTAACTCAAAATTGGAAAGCGATGTGAGAGTTCCTATATCAGAATTCAGAAATGAAGTGGTTCATAAAAGGCGTGTGCTAAAATCCTTCTTCAAGTTAATTTTACCATATGTAAGAAACGCCTCCAAGCTGATCAGAAATTCTCAGGTGTCCAATTTGAATTTTCGTCCGGTCATTGTTGTGGATAAGTGCGAGGCTTGGGATGAAGACAAGTGGTTAGATCTTCAAATAGGCGCCGTCCGCTTGCAATGTTTTAAACCCTGCACAAGGTATTTTTTTTCATTTTCCCGAGAAGGTTGTAGAGAACATTCAAGAATTTTTGATTCAGAATAGGTTTCAAAGTTGTAAGTGTACTTCATTATCTCCCTGATTGTGTAGAAGACGAGTATGCACTTGTATGGGCGGTGTCCAGTGCTGTGGTCAGAGGTGCCGTGCAGTACATACTGGATCTGTTGCTTGTTTAATCCGATTGCCAAGGGGCAACAAACCTACTATTCCTATAGAGTCGACCAAGTGCTACCAGCCTCGTCTGGAAGGAAAACAGAACTTGCTGAATGCATTGAAAGGCCACATAAAGTCAATGTACTGACCTGATATGTGTTTAGAATTCTCTACTGAGCTTGATGAAATCCAATGCATGACGCATCCTTCAGGATTCATCGACGCCAAACGCATTCTTCTTTGATTTATCCAGTCCATGCATCGCCATCATGTAATGGATTTTAAACTCGTTATTTACGACATTGCTCGACATGTGCACAGCGGACTAAAATGCGTCATAATGGATTAGGCAATGATGTATTTTCTCTGCGATGCAAGGAAACTCAAGGGATCGACGGCGTTTCTTCAAAAATACAAAACATGACTGTCGGGTATTTACCGACTTGAAAGTAGTCCTCAACATTGTTGAGACCGAGGCGGTTGTCTAAGGCTTAAACAATTAAGATGCTTCTACATTCCTTGTACTTATTTCATATTTCCTGTATTTAAAGCTTATTTCTTCGGCAATGTGACAACTTCAGGATTATGCCAATCTACTACAGCATCGTTATAGGTGTAACAAGGATGGTTCGGCAAGGTGAAGCCGTAGCGCTTTCGAGAGGCTGATGGGCCTCTCATATTACACGAGCAAGAATTGAAATCATTGCAGTGCACACCAAGATGTCGAAAATTTCATCGCCAATACATGATACGTCTGAGCAACAACCGATGAACATGAGTTCTCACATACTAGTTTTCACAGAAGATTATGCGCCAGGCGTGGAGACCACCGCGTTATCGTCAGATTTGTTCATGAATGCCCTGGACGGAAAACATCTTTGCGAGTTCTTTGAGCGAACCATACAATGCTAGCAACGCGGAATAAGGATAATTAAGTACTCAGCTGCCTTCAGCCCAAATCGTTGGATGATCAAAGAGGCGAATAGATATCACAAGTGGTGCTTATTTGAGATTGCTGAGGGTTGTGTCAGTGAATCACCTACTTACTTCGAGCGATCCTCAAACGTAGTTCGTGCCCGAGCACTTCTTTCATTCGTTACATTGTCTTCCAATGCAACGGTATTGCTTAAAAGTCCCTGATTCCATTTGTGGGTTTGACTGAATTTTAAGGATTGCGGGAATTACAGAGATAACAAACGACGTAAGATACCCATGTTAAGGGTTTTCCAATTCTTCGCCACATACAGTCGTTGGGTTTTGCAAATTCGAAAGAAGTTTGTAACCTTAGGTTTTAACTTTGGTTTTCATCAGGGTGATGGCGATTCACACTATTATTGTGCTGCTCGTGTCGGCATCAGATTACAACGAGTTCACTGGTGGTTTACTGTGCAGACTTTTGTATCGCAAGCGATTACTGCAGCTAATTTGACTGCTTGAAGTATTGTAACAGCTATCTGTGCCATAATTATTCATGTCGCTTTCGAAAATATTATATTAGTTTCCAGAAAATGGAGTTTCTTCTTTGACCGCTTTGTGAACCGTAATGGGCAGGTTACAATGCAATTGTGGGGAAATCGGAGACTTGCTAGATAGTTGGTAATGAGCACTGGCCCTCAATTAATTAATCTAATGTAAAGCTAATCGGGAATTACGAAATTGTTTTGTAGCCTCAAATTAACTTTTAACCCTCATTGTATGTCTACAGATGCATTCTGACCACCGTCAATCCAGCAACTGGCAGTAAGGATGGTGGAATGCAACCACTGAAGAAGTTACGACAGTGAGCTTGTAACTGCCAACTTTTGTGGAGTTAATAGCAACCATCTAGTTTCTTCTTGCTGTATTTTCAGGTTCCGTTTAGCACCAGAGGGTCGGATGCGCGATCAGTTTAAAGATTCCCCCATTTTTGGAGTAAATGCCGGAGTGGACAAGCCGGTTTGTTGCTTCCATCATATACTAGAACATGTGGTTGTGCTTTCCATATTAATTTTTAAGCAGTATTTTGGTACTCTGCGCAAGCATTCATGTATAAATGCTCCCCTATTCGAGGCATATTGAAGCTTAAGGGCATATGGTTGAAAATGAGGGTTCAGCATTCTTTAAATTCCCTTTTCGATGTTCAATGGGGATATTCGCGGTTTATTAATAACTTTACGCGGAATTTGTGCGATTTGATCTGCGCTTTAACTCACGATGCCAGTTCAGAGTTCATTGCCAGATTAGGGCAATGCATTGTTCTGCTCGGGCAAAGGTTTTTTGGTTTACCAATAACGATTTGGTGAGAAATGTCTGTGTGGTCCGAGCAGCTTAGCATCAGTCACATCTTACCGCTATCGCTCTTTCACTTCGTTGTTTGCAGTTATCTGCGAGTAACGCATGAGAATGCACTTACTCGGCGCTACCTGTTTCCCTGATTGCATCAGTGATGACTTTTAAAAACGTGATGACCTTAAGAAATTCGATATAATTCTTGTCTTGCTTCCTTGATTTTTCCATTGCTTTCTCACTCGATTTTTTTCTTTTCTGGAGTTTGAATTCTACCTTTCTTGAAACCGTTTGCTCAGCCAATCTCAGCTAACTTTAAATGGTTACTCTGAGACGAACTGTAATCTCAGTGAGTATTTCAATAGTGAATGCAACCAGAATTCCTTACAACAATCAACAGAAATCTTTTTTCAGGGCTACATCCATGTGGGCCAAACCGTCTATGCACGCTACAAGAAGTCTCCATTTTGAGTGATCTGCTCCCTTCCACCGTCCTGTTTTCATGATCATATCTGATGAAGAATTTTCATCGTCCACCTCATATGTATACCAATCTGTCGGCTTTTCCATTGCTCTCGATCGTATTCTGAGCGTACTTCTTGTTGCAGTCATAACATTTACACTTCATTCGAATCCTTTTTGATTAAATACTACTTTTATTTTAAGAGTGAGACCTGAAATAGCGTTAAAGCACGGCGAATGGTTGAAGACGCAACACTTCTGGTTACCATCGTGACAACGTCCATCGTTATCTACAATGTTAGCCGTTGGCGCTTAGTTTTCTTCCTGTCAACCCTTAAAACATTCCACTACGTATTCGTTTTTTGATGAGCTTACACGAGGTTGATATAGATGTTTATTCCGTTAATGTTTCAACGTCTTTGTCTTCATCAGAGCCAACCGTGGACCGTGGACTCGGATCATCGGCTGTGATGAAGACGAAGACGTCGAAGCTTTAGCCGAATAAACACCTGTATCAACTTCGCGTAAACTTATCAAAGGAAGAATTTGTACTTATTAGTCATTCAGAGGTTAAAAGAAAGTCGGTTTTAAAATATTACTTCACCATGTATTTTTATTTAAACAAAACGTTAAAAAAAATTAGAATACTTGACCAATACTGTGTAACGATGAGTAGCGGCTGGATAACTGGTATTTTTGTAAAAGTAGGGGACTAAACCGCGAAAAGTTGAGGTCTAGTAATTCCTAGCAAATCGAGACTTTCTAAATTTGCAGCTTTCAATAATTCTTTGCATGAAATCTTTATATATGGAATCTATTAAGTTTACCATTTCTGTATGCTGAACACCTCTCGACTATTTACGCTTCATTGTGGCTGGAAGGTATTCCTGGGTGTGGGGCTGCGATGTGCGGCGAATAGTCCATCCCACTAACAGGGTCTCCCAAACCGAAGAGTTCGGCGTTTCCACTGGGAAGCCCAGCTAAGAGTAAACCACTGCCAGGATACAGCACCGTCCTTGTATCAAATAAGTTGCATGGTGGCAAATCATCCTCTGGTCCACAAGGGCTGCGACAGTCCGTGGTGATGAAGACCTGAGGCGGACTTTGACCAGGCTGACTTCGGGACTCGAGAGAACCACAATGGTTTAACCAGCAAATCACCGATAAATGGTGATTACGCTGGTGCCCGCACAATCAGTGAAGATGGGCCATGCAAGTATCCAGGTGAGTATATATTGAACACAATAGCTGTCAATATTCATAATGCCAAAAATAATAAGAACAAGAAATCGGTTTTATGATGTTTTCCCTTAACATGGTCAGTCTGAAGGTCCACCAGAACGAAAATTGTGCCACAAAGTGAAACAAACACGTAACGATGCAAATAGTACGCTTTATACGACAATGGTGATGCTGAGACATTACAAAACTCGTGACCGCATGTACTTGTGATGGGGATTGATCAATTCTGTTGATAGGTGACTGCTGATAGCACATATAAAACATGACTGAGAGAAAGGCGAGGACCCGCATAGCGTGGTGGTAAACGTGTTTGCCTCTGAAAAGGTAAAAGCAGGTTCGATCCATTCTTCAGACACATGCGCTCAGGGGTTTTACCAATATCTTTCCATCATTGTGGTTATATTTTACATCATACCCGACCATTAAAAAAGAATAAGCAGGAAAATAAAAGTTGATTATATAGTGAACTTTGTCTTCATCAGTTTTCGATTGAATGCTGCAAAGTTGTACTAAATTTTTAGAGGTTTTGATCATTCTGATTAATATGTTTCCTTTCAATCTTATTTGAGTATTTTGCCACTTAATTTACAGCTTCATAATTGTCACTATTCCTTGTTTGTTGAGGGAGTTCGCTACTTGCTATGTCGAGTTCACAAACGCCAGTCGCCTCTGATCCCTATTGGCACCGTCAGTGCGCTATACGTCTACCCAGTAAAGTCCTGCAAAGGCAAGAGTGTCAGTTACTACAATGATATGACGAAGTAAACACTAACTGGACTTCATGTGAAAGTTTAAGGATGTTTAGGCAAAGCCAGTGTTATTTTAACTAGTGCACTTCATTGCAACTGGGCCTATGGATCACAAAATGATCGAGAATTAAGAGCTGGTCTTATGTCAACTAACTCTCTTACATTATTCTTCAAAAATTATGGAGAGAAAAGAAGCCTGGCTTTTGGTGGAGTAATCACAAAAAAGTCCCATCAGATAATGGAGTTGGGTCGTTCCAATGCGCTTTTCTTATCAATCGTAGTTTCTTTCGAATGTTGTTTTCTGAGGTTGCCCAGTGGAAAATCTGACGTGGATCGACTCCATCTTGTCGCCTTAAAATTTCATGTTTTTGACAGGCCTTGGATCACGTTTCCAAGGTATGCTAAATAATGTACAAATTGTGAGACTTTTAGGGATTATTGCTGTTTGTTCGTTTTTCAAGGGATACTTGATCGTTGATTACTGGCAGTTATATTTCCTAAGAATCTTATAGTGCTCGAAATGAACTCCGTTCTGTACTACAGGTGTTTTCAATGTATTGCGATAAAATGGGACCGATTTCCGGTGAAGTGCACGACCGTCAGTTCATCGTAATAAACGGACGGGATGGCAGGTGTGTCACTCTGATCAATCGACAAACAAGTAAGACTCTGTTAACAGATAAAATTCCAAAAAGCTAAACTTGAGTGGAGTCTGCTAGCGACAAATTGGATGCTAGCAGCTGTAGGTTTCCTTTAATCCTTTATAAGTTCACTTCAAACTGATTATAGTGTTCTATAATCGCTGTCATGGGGTATAACCAGTATTTTTAATTAAATCAATTGTGAGAGTGACCCACCCATCGGATATCTAAGGCAAGTATCTTAAACGTTGAGTAGGTTCACCTAAGCTGAGCGGCTTGACATTCATATACAAAAACTGAGCACGTACGAAGTCAATGGGTTTCGTCCTGTCAGAGTTGTGTAAATAGGGGGCCTCATAACGAAAATGTGGCGCTCCTTGGGTTCTTCGATCAACTGAGGCCAATGGGCAGTTCTGACGTGCAGTCTGAATGAGTAGAGACTTTGTATCAGTAAAGTTGATCAGATTGAATTGTTTGATCGATACTGATTACATTTGGTATAAATGTTTACCCATCTAGAACTTAGTCTTTAGTGTCCAACTTCGTTTTTTTTATGTACTAACGATGTTTAGAGTTTCTTATTGGTAGAGATTTATTACAAGATTTACAAGAATACAGTGGTGAAAACTTTTGATTTTCATTACCTTCAGTTTCGATGTAATTGTCTTTTGTGACTCAGTAGTGCTTCTTATTCCGATGCAGTGCCACTGAGGTGAAAAGTAAAAAAAATTTGAAAGATAACTGACATCTTATCGCAGTTTTTTTTTCATAAATTCTATCTCATTCTTTTAATAGGGTATTTGGACGACAATCGAATGTTTGGATATTCGAATATTTGGACGACAATCCATAAGTGAACTATTCAGATTCTACACTGGTCGACAAAAGCCATGTATGGTGCTGATTGAATGTGACGTTCGGGATGGATGCCTGTCAATGACCTATGTAGACGGCAGTTCGGCTTGTGTCGACCTCGACGATGTCAGACGGCGCAACGACGTCAGAACGGCAAGGTACAGCTACTCTTCTCACCGCCAGCAAACGGGTTGTTAGCATCACGAAGTTTTGCTCACGTATAATCGCTGAATGCGATGAAGGAAATTGGGATCATATAGTATAATAACAATAGGAGCTTTTTATTACAACAGCAATGTAAACAACAAATTCACAGAGTCATTTCATGTGCCCGATTTTCTGGCTATAATTTCCGACATGTGTTACTTCTGAATGTCAGGAATTTAGAAGCATAAGTTTCATAGGAAAGATTGGACTTTCTAAAGAACTAAGCATTTTATTTATACCCCATTTTCAGCATTACGTTATCATCTAGGATCTTTAGAAATTTGCAGTTGACGCTCGAGGGCACCAAACTATTTTTGGTTGAACGCAAACTGCTCGTCTACTGCAGTAACGAGCTTATGTGTTCAGGATCCACTTTCTATTAACCTCGGCATTGGAATATGAATGTGTCGTTTTCTTGTTCAGCAATCGCGAGGTTTTTAAACAGCATACATTTACTTCCATAGAAAAACACAATACAATACAACACCAGCTGACGTTTCCGCAATGTCGCCTTCTTCAGAGCCTGGAAGGGTATGCTGGTATACAATCTACTGGGCCAAACGCTTCAATAACACTTACAAAAAGACAAAAGACTCTTTGGTAATTACATGATCAACAACTTCTCGAAAAAACCCACCGCTTTTTCGTGACTTCCAATGAGGAAGTTTAAGTCGCATGTGGTTGACGACTGCACCATCCCATACGGGAACATACGGGGTCAGGTCGCGTATGACCTCCGGGGGGTATTCATCCCTGCTATTCATTGTAGGGTTTTTGGCATTGATCCAAAAAGCCTCAAGGAGTTTTCGCGCTGGTGTTTTGGACTCCTGTGCAAGGATATTGACTTTTACTTCAAAATCGTCTCCGCTATGCTTTTGTATCCTATGCGTGCCTAGTGGGGTGCTTCGTCTTAGTTTTCGTTTGCCATCTAGGTGTTCTTTTATACGGATACACGAAGCTCTGCCCGTTTCGCCAATATATTCATCCCTGCAATTATTACAAGAGATCAGGTATATCGTACCTGAACTCATGCAGTCACCGTCCCTGCCGTAAGGGCAAATTACGCAATTTGTTGTTTCACACAGACGGTTATACAGGCGGTTACGAACTAATTGACGACGTAGAGTAGCCGGTGGTATTTCAGCTATCGCTACCGATTCCTCTAGACCTGCCCTTCTTAAGCATCGTTTTTTAGCTACGTCTACTTCATCACTTATAAAAGGCAACATTAACAGGATTTTCTTTTGGCCAAGTGTTTCACGCGTGCGCGTCGCTCTCCTCCTAAACTTATCTCGTGGGGTTACTATTTCGTAGC